TTGAATACCATGCCTATTTCAGTCATGAAAAGTCAGCCAATTAATATTTTCAGTGTATATTTAGACTACTTTGTTTCCTTAATGCTTGCAGATAAGCTCTGGCTCTGTAAGGGAAATGTGTAGGTGAGCCTTCTGTGGAATACTTTTCTGTAGAATTGAAATGTGCTGACAGGCAAAGAAAAAGCTGCACTGCTAGGTGAGGGTTGGGAAGTTGAGCATGATTTTTTCTACGGCATGGAAAGCCAGATGGGCCACAGGTTCCTACCAGAAGTGGTTGGGTTTAGCTTTTTGTTGTTAGTTCTGTTGTGGCCATTGATCTCAACTTTTGACCACTAATCAATAAGGATATAAGAAGGTCCCAAAGAACTTTTCCTATTGCCAGCTTTGGAGGTTGAAGTGGTTTTTTTTTCTCCTTTGTTTTTTGGTGTTTTGGGCCTTTTTTTGGGTGTTTTTTTGTTTTGTTTTCATTATTTAAACTAAAAAAGCTACTTAAAGATCTACTTAGTTCTCTAGTAGTTTTTGGAAGGGTATGCATGTATCATACGTGTATGAACTCCTGTAGTAATTGCATGATGTATGAATCAGAAAAGGATGAGAATTCAGGCAAGCCCAGTAGCTGCATTCATTTTGCTTGTAGTTGGACCTTGATCTTAGACTATTTCTATGGTGTGTATGGCTGGCAAGACTTACTGTGAGTTTCATCACATTCTCCATTTTCACATTTCTATTTCTTTTTTTTTAAATTACCAATTTTTTAATGATATTGTTTCATAGAAGTGTTTTGAATGTAGACAGCAGTTGAGAATTACAGGGCCTAGGGCGATCACAGGAATTGAGAGACAAGTGCAAGGATTGTCCTAAATAAGTAAGTTTGTGGATTCTAGCGGTTTTGGTCTTTGAGATTTCAGCAGTCTGGGAAAGCAGCAAAGTCAATGTTGGCAAGCAGCACGTTTTTTTTCTGCACTTCTCTGTGACAGGAAAAGGTCATGAATGAGGAAGCTCTGTCTGAACTGGACAGCTGAATCTGGTAAACTTGTGTTTCAGGACATTTGGCTGTTAGTCCTGTTCAGATACAGACTTGGAAAACTGATTGTGCATTTCATAGGTTTCGTTTCTACCAGGAGGAATTTTATTTAGAAAACAAGTACACAACATGTTTGCAAAAGTGAATTTCATATATTTTACTTAGGAAATTGCATGGCTTTAGATTTTTTTAAAGTGAGGTCCTTGGAATTCCTACAGTCATGCTCTGCTGATGTCTTTCATGGAATTGTTGCTCTTTGTAGTTGTACAGTCTGAATGTTTATGATATTTCTGCTTTGGGAGAAAATAAAGGTGAATCAATAATGTTTTATGTAGCTTCTTTAGACTACTTTAACCACCATGCATGTCAAAGACTAGAACAAGTTCTTTGTTCTAGGAAAGTTAGATATGTTGGATAAGAAAAATGAACTCTAGGCAGCAGTAGTCAAAATAATATCTTGACCTCAATAGCTGATACTTTAAAATACCATTTTTCTTTTTTGGTGTTGTATTGTTTTCCCAAAACTATCTTGCAATTTATTTGTTTTTTTAAACTCAATTGAACTGCTCAAATCGACCTCTGGTCAAAACTGAAACATGGCAGGTTCTGTCTGAGCTTAAGGAAATACTTCTTTACTGTGAGGGTGTCTGAGCGCCGGCAGTGGTTACACAAGGGAGTTGTGGAGTCTCCTTCCATAGAGAGGCCCTTTCTGTTTTTACCTGGGATGTTTGTCACTCACTAGCGGCAACATGAAATGAGCAGTTTTGACTTTTGCTATCTGATCACTTTCAAATAGCAGGAAAGGAATGCTTTGAACAGCAACATGAAATATTTCAGGGTGTACTGGAGCAGTTTTTAGGTCTAGAGTGTATGTCCTTTATTAAACCCAAGGGCTACTTTTAAAAAAGTTTGAACTGAATTCCTTTATGAGTGCAGTTAAAACTTGAGTATTTCATGTCTTCAGAGGGCCTGAATTGTAGCAGAATTCACACGTGAAGAGTGATAAATAGACAAAGCTAGGGAACACAGAGATGACATAGCTTTAAGTCTGCCTCTGCATAGCTGGCTGTATTTTGTTTGCTGTGTGCCAGTCCTCCAGCAGCATTTAGGGTGTGAGTACATTGAATTAGGGGAAGATCAATTTAGAGGTTTTACATTCCAATTGTATATTACTGAAGAGAAATGAAACTTGAACACTCCAGTTGAATCTTACAAAATCTTTTTAATGTAGATTATTTTAGTAGTTGTGATTAGGGTTTTATGTGGTGCCCTCTGATTGACAAGAGAAGAATATGTGAGTGATGTCATGCAGGCAAGAATGAAGAGGTGGTGGTACAGCTTGTGTGGTGTGCACTGAATCTCTTAAATACAATAGGTATAGGTAATTCCTTTTGAAAACATGCAGGAGGAACAACTGCTCAAGCTTTTGTCTTAGAAAAAGTTCATATTTAGGCTTTACTGGTGATACTCTGGTATCTCACTACTCTGCAGTAAAAACAATCCACATTTATATACAAGGGGCATGTTGGGTGATAAAGATGATAAACTTGGATTACGATGGCAAGCAATTTCACACATGCAGTTCCTCACTGTACTTGAGATAATGTCCATGTCTTTTCTTAGGTAATCTATGCAGTTGAATAACTTGTGTTCTGTGTGATAGCTTCAGTCCTTGTTCTGTCCCTTGTCCATAGCTTTCTGCCAGTTGCAGACATTTTATTTCCTATTGCATCTGTGCTCATATCTTCATACCTCATTTATTCCCATGCATTAAGTGCTTCCAAATATAATTAAAATTTCTATTTGAGATCTCTCATGTCCTACTTTTGAGTTTTATTGCTGCAGTTGGATTATGTTCACTCTCTGGAAGAGTGAAGACCATGTAGTAAATCAGTTCATTCAGAAGTTTCTGTTCACAGTGTAGTGGCTGGGCAGAGGTAAAGGTCATGATTTCAAACATGAGAAATCCAAATCGTGTGAAAGCAAACAGCTGAAAAATGGTAGCTTGGTATATTCATATGCAGCTGTCAAAAAAGGTAACTCCCGTTTTAGTGTATTTATCAATAAACGTGGCAATATTTACCTAAATGTCAAATCAAGCTATCAAAAGTTGGTTGAGGAAATGTCAATTTTTGGTTGTCTGTGTAGGTTAGGGTGATGTGGATGGTGTATCTGTGTGTGGGCTGACCTTGGCCAGGAATAAAGCACCCTCCAACCATTTGCTCACTTTCTCCTGCAGTGGGGTGAGAGAAAGAATGGGACTATAGCAAGAGTAAGAAAAAGTTCATAGCTTAAGATGAAGGCAGTTGAGGAAATAAAGGGGGAAAGTTGAAGAAAACATAAAAACAACAAACCAACCAAACTGCCAACCAACAAAAGAGCCCAACCAAGTGGTGCTAAGGTTTGCCATCACTCACAGAGGTGCAGTCTGGTGCTCAGTCTCTGAGCACACTACCTTGGAAGAACTACCCCCAGTTTTATATTGCTGGGCATAATGGTTTATGGCTTGGAATATCTCTTTGTGTTAGCTCCAACCTTTCTCCCACCCTCAGCCTACCCATTGTGGGGGCAAAGTGAGAAACAGACAAGGGCCTTCATGCTGTGCAGCACTGTTCAGCAATAGCTTAAGCAGTGATGTTAGCAGCATTGTTTTAGTCACAAATTTGAAACACAGCACCATATGGGTTGATAGGAAGGAAGTTAACTCTATCCCAGCCAGACCCAGTGCAACCTACTTGGCATTGAACGGGCTGTGATGGAGCTGTGAATTCTGTGTCCTCAGACAGTTAATCCAGGCTTCTCTGCAGCAGGAGTGCAGCAGTGTGGCTGTGCTTTGCCTGGACTCTGCTCCTGAAAGGAATGCATCTACTTTGTGTTGGCACAAACACAAAGTGACTGGCCCCTGAATGTCCATCCCAGCAGTGTATTCCAGATTGTTGACCAAAGCATAATAAAAAATATCAGCAAATCTTGACTGATTTCTGGCTTTTGGTACGATACATGGACTGAGAGTTGAATCCTTCTCCTGCTCTTCCCATTAGAAGTCAGAAGGAATGCCTGCTGTTTTTGTTTAGAGTGCTGAGCTAGATTTAAAGGAAGCTGTTGCATTTATGATTGCAGAACTAAGAAAAATGTTTTAATGATTCATTGTAATTTGTGTTCTGAAGTATAGTATGAGGAAACGTCAGTATTACCATCCCTGTTTTGTTCTCTTGTCCTACCACTTTCCTTCCACTCCTAAGTTAATAAACAAGTTTTGATAGGGTCAGACCCTTTTGTCCCTAGGCTGGCCAAATGTCATTTAACGTGACAAGTTTTCGTCCATGAATTTCACAATCTTGAGTGTTTATTTGCAATGTCCTCTCAGTCAGATTCGAGGAGGTTATTAGAGATCTAATAAGGCTGTGCTGCATTCACAGCTGAATGAGTCCATCTGTGCCTTGCAGAGACGGCTGTGGGCTGCCATGAGGCACAGTGCTGCTTACATAAAGAGGGAGTGGCTGGGAGTGCTCTAATTCTGTCTTCCTCCTTCCACACGGAGTTGACATCAGTGGCTTCTAGCAGAGAGCACCTGCTTGCTGACTCAGCTCCTGAGGTCAAGTGTTGGTGAAGGCTGTGTCACAGCTGAGTTCACCCAAAGTGATTGCTGCTGCTCTGTGAGGGACAATAAATTCAGGAAAGACATTACAGATTGTAACATTAAGAGTATTCAAGTAAGACCATCTTTAAACTGAAAGTTTGTTATCATTGATAGGTACTTAGCAAATCTGATTCTTCTATTTTTGGGCGCTTTGGACAAGCTGTAAGAATACAGACAAAAATATGTTTGACAGTGCATAATGAGCTAAGTGCTCTCTGTTTAGGTTAGTTGTATTGATATTTGACTGTCTCTCCCAAGCTGTGAAGGAATAAGGTTGCTTTATGTTGCAGCAACACTAACATGCAAATCCGTATCTTCTGCACTGTTCCTATGCAGCTAATATAATAAATGCAAATGTTTGAAACTTTCTTTCTGTTCAGCAAGGTTTATCAATTGTTGTAGTGTGCAGACCTGAAAGGATCACTTATTTTTCTGGAGGTTTGCTACTCTCTGATAGTAATTTTCTGTTTTCTCTCTCTCTGTTTGTTTACAGATATCAGTAATGCTCTAGTAAGAGCATGGCAGTTTTTCATGTGTTGACATTATGTGCTTAATCCATTAATGTCTTCTTGAACCAAAACATCAAACTTTTAGTTCTGTGTTTTTGGCTTGAATGGCATTCTGAGTTGCATGAATTCATTAAGAAAGCAGACTTGTGTTTTCATCTGCCAGAGTATACCTGACAATAAATAGATTGCTTAATTTGTGTTTCTAATACTTATATTTTTCTGAGAGCATAAGCATCCTATTGGCTATTTATGAGATACTTGCTAATATGATAAATGATAAATATGTCCATCAAATGTTGTGTCAGTCATTTCAGTATTTTGATTTTTCTTCACTTGGGTACCCAGTGAATGTTTAGAATTGTTGCATTTTTTTAATTGACAAATTTCTCAGTGCATTTAAAAATACAGGATTCATGCCTCATTGCCAACTTCTTGAACTTGCTTTTGTCGGCATGTTTTTTTAATATTCAAAAATATTGGTCTTTAAGATAGGTTCAGTATTTTGCAGTGTTTAGCTTGTTTGATGATCCAAGCTGATGCACCAAAAGCATTTTTTCCTCTGATAAGGGGAAAGATTATTTTATTGCTGATTTATCTGAACTATAGTAGTGTAGGTTATTACTTTGACTAGTTATGAAAGAGGTATCAGCGTAAATAAAGTCTTCATTGGGATACTGATTTCTTCTAACAAACAAATTGTGTCAAACAGCTATTTCATTTTTGCAACTTTTTTTTATAACATTGAAATGGAAACAGACTGGGTCATATTTCATGAGGCTGTGACACCTGCCTGAAAAGTCAAAATATAGCCCACTTGCTTGTTACTTCTTTAATTCACAGTGTCTTTCCTGTTTTTATTGTCCTCCTAATTCTAAATACAGTGTATTAGTTTAGGCTTTGCTGTTACTCAGTTGTTTGATTTCAGGAGAGATATTTTTCTGAATGCTCTCCTTGGTAGTAGAAGAGTAAGCTATAAAGTCACTTCCTACATCTTGAATAAAAAGGAGTTGTGCAACTCTCTTAAATTTGCAGTATTTGGTAGGTGATAGAGGACCAGACTGTTCTAGTGACAATACAAAGGAAAAAAACCAATATAGTCTCATCGTTCCCGTAGGCTACTTCAGACATAGTGTTAATGAATAAATGAGTTTGTGTTTCAATTTAAACCTATATTAGATAGCAATCCTGCCCTTTGAGTGAATGTGAAGCAATTGAACTTTCAGAATTCTTTAGTGTCCAAACTGGACTGTTTTTATGGACATACTGGCCGTAACTACCTAGAACACGCTTCAGCCTGATCTCCAAATACCTGAGTCTTTGAAGACTTCTAGAGTCTAACCTAAGTTGATCTGCTGTGCCTTGTCCTTGTCCTTAAGGATTTCTGCACTGAGAGCTATCTGCTAAGGGAAGTTGGACTTTACAGTCCAGTTGGTGATTCTAGAGTCCAGTCCTAATTCCCCAGTGTCTTTCTTTTGCTTTTTAGCAGTATGAAAGACAGGAACTAAGCCCAAAGGATTTGGCTTTGGAAAGAGCTACAGGAATACTCTTTGCAAGAGTAATGGTTAAAATGTTACGGGTGTAAGCAGTCCACTTTCTGTGTGGGTGCCTTCTGTTTATTCTTCCAATGGGATCTGAGTGCCTTTGGAAAGGTAGAACAGCTTGGAGGCAGCTCAGGGTTTATGATCATCCATGAACTAGTCTTGAGAACTTCCTGATGATTTCGCATGGGATGTGATATGTTCAGCTCCTCATTTTTCGAAGTTCAGGCTGTTTTTCTGTTCTTTTCTATGAAATATTTCAAGATTATGCAGTTGTTGTCTCTTTCTGTTTATTTTAGTGGTGATCACTTCTGTCTTTTTACAGAACAGCTGAAGTACTTTCAGGTACCACATCAGGTGGTCTGATTTAATAGAATTATAGTAATCAAGTTTTGTTGAAATATTACAAGATACTTGATTTTTCGTTCTATAGTTAAACTTCTTTTTAAATTGCAGAAGAAAATTCCCAGCCTGTAGATTAATCAGTATTGTGGTCAATACAGATATGATACACATTTTAATGGAAATGATTTCTAGATATATTTGACCCAAGACCAATGCCACTTGGCAGTATTATTCAGAAACTAGCGAGCATGTTGGATTTTGCTTTCAAGTATAGAGAAGTTAACACCTTTGATGATGTCACTGCTACATTTTTGCTACTTCACTTGCTTCCACATTGTTTTTACATATTGCCCAGTGCCTTTGATCTCAAGAGTGAATGTTTAAAGATAATAATCTCTTTTGCACAAGAAGAAGGTTTTAAGGCCTTTGTAAAGTCATGGATTGGATCATTTTTCAGTTGACAATTTAAAGTGAGAGGTCAGAACTGCATGGAGTTGAACAATTACTCCTTTTTCCAGGGGAAAGGAAAGCCTTGTACATTATGTTTTCATGTAGTCCAAGTATAGGAGTAGATTTTTCTTTCACTTCTCTTGTGGTGTCATTATTTACAGAAACTGATTTTGTGTCCTTTTTTCTACTCGGGCATATTTATCACAAGATTGCTTAAAGGATTGTGGCTTGTAATTAAAGCTGTGGTTTTCAGCTTTTGAAGAAATATGATCGTTTCAGGGTTGTTATTGATAGGGTCTGTGTGCTATAAATTTATAGTCTATTAAAGGGTGCAGTAAGTGTAAGTTTACACATGATAAAGATTAGTGATATTTGCATCATTCTGTTACAGAGAAGTACTTGATAACTAAATTTTGCAAAGCAAAATTTAATTGGATTACTTAGCCCAGAAATGGAAAGTGTAAGTCCTTAGGGCATTGTTTTTTGTTGTGATTTCTTGCCCAGAATATATTGTGCTGAAATGTTTCCTACAGCTTCCTCAGCTACAAGCTTTTAAAGTTTGTGTATGAGAATTTTAGCGGGAAAAAAAAAGATCAGGGCATAAGGTACTGATTCTTTTTTCCCCCTTGTAAATGGTGTGGTGAATGAGAGATGACTTTGAAGTGGGTGCAGTAGAGTGGAAATACTATATGAATTGTAATCTTCAATTTCCTCTGAAGAAATGTAAACAGGATCCTCTAAACTTCTACTTGTGTTACTTCCTATGCCTAGTTCTTACATACATGGAGAAAAGTACTGACTTAAAGAGAAACATCAGAAGCCTTGCATGTCTAGATAATAAAATCAATGTTCTCCTCTTTTTGTGTTCTGTGTTGATGCAGTTTTAGTTGTGGCAGTGTTTCAAACGGAATTCTATAGATTTTTTTTCTCTTTCATGACGCTAACCTGCAGCACAAGCCAAACCCTCCTGCCAGTTGCTTTTCTTAAAGTTTTTCTTAAATAAAGAGAAATTCCTCAGTAATACAGTATCTTCTCAAAGGTAGCATGTGTTTAACTTCCTCAGATTAATATTTTCCTTATATCATATAGTATTTATAGGATTGACTTCACTCATTGAAGCAGGAGGATGTAGAAGTTGCAACTTGTGTATCAAAAGTTGCATGACTATAGGAGTTCAAAAGAAAGCTGTATGAGTTTAGGCTGGAACTCTTTAAAGAAAAATATGTCTTTCCATTGAATTAATATGTGTGCACATAGGTTTGCAGTTTATTTCGTCTCTCTCAACTGTTTGAAACACTGGTGTTGGTTTTAAAGTAGGTTTTAATAAAGGTTTTATAATGCCAGGAGTAGAAGAAAGAAAATATGTCTAAATTTTCCATAAGAAAAGAGAGAGAAAGAGAAGGGAGGGCAGAACATCTGTGTAGTAAGAACTACTGACTATGTAATTTTAAAAAACTTTTTTAGAAACATGTGATATGTTATTAAAAGTAACCCCTTGCAGTAACTTACCCATACCTAGTGTTTTTTGCAACGTTTCATTTTGTTTCAAATTTGATGGGTGTTTATGAAGCACAGAAAGAATTTATTTCAAATTACTGGGAAAAGGTGATTATTTGTCTGTAGTGACTGGCAGTTTGAGGTGTGGATATATTTGGTTGATCCTGAGTCGGTGGAAGCAGTCATATGTTATTGCTGAGGTCATCAAGATCCCTTGAAGTTACAGTGTTGGATAAGTCAAAATTCTTAGAGGAATTGGAATAGTTTCTGCTTCAAATGACTCTGTTTTTACAATAAATTATAAATAGATAAAATGTGACTTCATACAAATGTTTTGTTCATTGTTTTGTAGATGATGTTCTAACACCGAATACAGAGAACGGTAATTTTCCCTACCAAGTACCCAACTTCCATAAGTGTGAGATTTGTTTGCTGTCTTTTCCAAGAGAGACCCAGTTCCAGCGCCATATGAGGGATCATGAGCAAAATGACAAGGTATGAATTGTGGTGGATATTACCGGTGTACATTGATATTTTCATATACTGTCAAGTAAAACTAACACAAGATATCTTTTCCATGTCTTTTCAATCACACTGCTAATAATTATTACTTACAGACCTCAGAGTTTTGTGACATTTCTCTTTCATCTTTTCTCATGTTTCCTTTGAGATAAGGACCTACCTTTGATGCCCCTTAATTGGATTGTTGTTTCCAGATCAGTAATTTTTCATTTTAGCCATTTTCTTTGATTTATAAAATACCCAGGTAGATGCTAAGATGTACGAGTTTTTTTTCAGTAGAGTTTGCAAAGTGATTCTACACATTAGCAATAAAAAGAAAGGAATGCTTATATTTATTAACAGGACCCTACTAGTAAACTAATTTAGTATGTAGGTATTAATCAGTAGATTAATGTCCTCACTTTAGCTGCTTACAAATCCAATTTGGGAAAAGAATGAGAATACAGATATGTGATTAAGACTGGACTGGCTTTGTAAATGAAGGTTTTGCCGCAAGTTGCATCTGTCATAGGAAGTGTTTAATTTATTTCCCTTGTTTTGTATTTCACAAAGCTAAAACTACTTAGATGTGACAGGAAAATAATTTTATTACTTTTTGAGGAAGCCCTAAATACAGATTAAATTTTAGAAAACGTAGCACTTGGAGATAATTCCCATATACAAAGAACAACTTATACAAGTTTCAGTGTTGTAAAGTTGATAAAGTTAAACCCATGCTGTTGCACACTTATCTAAGAGCCTTTACATCTAAAAGGAAAGTGCTTTTAAAAGAATGAAAACTGGTTTTGCAGATACCAAGTGAATAGCCATGAGGCCTAGTATAAGCTAAGTATTTTGCTATTTTGATTATTAGTTTTATTTAAGGAGATTTCATGGAATCTCAGAATATGCTGAATTGAAAGGACCCATAGGGATCATCAGGACCAACCCCTGGCCCTGTGCAGGGCACCCCAAGGGTCACACCATTTGTCTGAGAGCATCGTCTAAATCCTCCTTGAACTCTGTCAGGCTTGGTGCTGTGACCACTTCCCTGGGGAGCCTGTCCCAGTGCCCAAACACCCTCAGGGTAAATTGTGATCACAGTTTAAGTAGGAAAATACATTTCTATCTCTTGCTCATTCTTCTCTCCTACTAACTTTACTCTTTTCAGACAGTCTCAGTTTTGAGTCTCTGGTTTCCTTAGTTCTCCTGCTTTCTTTCTCTTTGTGCTCTTGTAATACTGTATTTGTATTTTCTGTAGTGAGATGCAAAGAAGATAAAATGATTAATATCAGTATTATTAAGCATCATTATCCTATGTAGGTACTTGAACTGCCCTTTTTTAATGTTTAACATTTTGATTTGTATGGCTATATGTGTCACTCAGAGTTATATGTGTAGCTTATGGGAAGACTGAATTTTGTCTTTATTTTTGTGATTTTAACAAACAGCCTCACCGGTGTGACCAGTGTCCGATGTCATTTAATGTTGAATTCAACCTGACACTTCACAAATGTACTCACAATGGCGAGGATCCTACATGTCCTGTGTGCAACAAGAAATTCTCCAGAGTAGCCAGTCTGAAAGCACATATAATGCTACATGAGAAAGAGGAGGTAATTCATTAAACTTTATAACTTAATTTTGAGAAGACATGTCAATAGTGGTTGTATTTAATCCCTTACCTGTATGCTTTAGATTGGAGGATTGAATAAATGATTTTTTTCAGAAGAAATATAAAACCTTTAAGAAGGGAAGTTTGTTTTAATATTAGTTACAGAAATTAATATCCTGAATATAAGTTGTGTCTTTATGAACAAAAGGAACTTGTGTGTGTTTGATAGATGCCATATCATACACTATATATAAGCATTAACTGATTCGTTACTTACACATATTTTTATTTTGAATATACTTCTGGGACTTAATCTACATTGATAAGCCCACACGTCTTAAATAATGTGTGATCATGTTTGATGACAGATGTCATGGTGAGGCACTCTCACCATCCATAGAAATAGATTAACCCTTATCTGCAGCTCCCACTGTGTTTTTGAGTGGTTGGTTGTTTTGTTTGAGAGTACTTGTTCCTTCCCCTCTCACAATTTCATTTTCCATTTTGTTAGAGTGTTGGTTAAATTCTTAGCAAACAGTTAATACATAGTGGTGTATTTTGCACACTTTATAGTCATTACTACATTACTACAATTGCCAGAATTGATTGCACTGCCCGAAATACCAAGTTTTCAGTCGTGTAATTGCCTCTTCCTCCTGTTAAGGCTTTTTAAAAATTGCACCTCATATTGGAGAATCGGAGCTGAACCAAGAATGCACTTTTATTGTCAGACTTCTAATCATAAATGTAACAGTGGTGTGTTTCTCCATGCTAATTGGTGACAGTTTGCAGGAGTTTTGACCTGTAAGTTGAGGATAATAGGCCTATGTGCACTTTTCCCAAAACCAGATGCAATGCATGCCATCTGTAGAGATTGTTCTCCTTCTTTAATCATTTTAGCTCACCTTTTGTCATGTAAACAGTCAAGTAGGCAGCCAAGTGGACTAGAGTACAATTTTGTTGCATATTAATGTGTCTATAATGATAAATGGCTTAATCGGTATTATTAAGGAAATTTGATTTATGGATTCCTGAAAACATCGGAATGAGGAAACTAAGCATCAAGAAAGACACCCAAGGGTGGTTTTTGGTATTTGTTTCTATGCACTTCAGCAGCGATGATTTTGTTGATTTGGTGCAGATGTCAGAAGAATACGCTGTGTGATGCCTTCCAATTTAAAATTCTATCTGCAGCTTTAAAATGAAATTTATAAAAATACAAACATGTTTCAATTGCTAATGAATGTGTTTCTTATAATAGTCAATAGCTTCGTGATAAAACGGAGATGAATGTAACAATTAATTCACGTAAAACTGCGGGAGTAACTTTCACAGGACCTGTAGAAGAACTGGAATTTGAACTTGAAGCAAAGGGTACTGGTGATGGCACTAGCTGTGCAGGTTAACAAGTTATTGGTGAAGTACATTCTCCCTCCTGTTTGCTCTTCTTCCTTTTGCTGTTGGAAGGGTTAAAAATCTGAAATCAGTGCAAAGGTACATATGGGGAGACATACATTAAGGGACATAAATAGAGCTTAAGGAGATGGCTTCATAGAATGAAATTTAGGGAACTTTACCCTTATGTGGTGCTGTATTAGGCAGTTTTATCTACAGATGAAAGCAGATGGGCAAGAACAAGAAATTAGAGTGATTAGCTTCTTGGGAGCTCAAGTGAGATTTGGGAGAGTGGATATGTCAGTGAAACTTATTTTTGTGATTGATTACTCCCTGTGAGAGATTGTAGAAGGAATTTTTTGGGCTACTGATATTGAGCTTGTAAGAGACTTTCTCTTCACATTCTTTGGTGGTTTGTGTGTAATGCACTGGTGTGAGGGAAAAACTTTACATTTGAAATTCCTCATTAATATGGGGTAGCTTTCTCTTGGGAAATCACAGAGAACATATCTTGTCTAAATATGCCCCATCTTCTCGAGGATTGTTGATCTTGTCCATTTCCTCAGTGGAAATACACAATGGTTTTCGTTGCTACATTTTGCCCTGCCAAGACAGAAATGGTGAATAAAAAACTGAAACACAAATTATTTATTGCATAAGAACCGCTACTATGTCTTCTTTTTTCATGAAAGTAAGGGGCTTTGGGGCTTTAGGAACAGCTTAATATGTTGAAAAAGTTAAAACTGATATTTGATGGATATAAAATTAAAATTCCTTCATTACAACATCCTCTTGGTGTGGGTTTTTATGTTTTACTTTGTGTGATGTTGGGATTTTGTTTGGGTTTTTTTTTTAGAAATCTTCACTGTATTTGATTTGTACTCTCTAATATGTTGTGAGCAATGGTCTTTTAAAAAAGTGCAGATTAAAATCCTTTACATATTCTGTGAGTCATAGATACTAAACAGGTGAAGATCACGAGATCCAAAGATGTTGCATCTGGTAAGATAGGGAGAGCTAAAACAGGCAGAATCCAATCAGTAGAGGTTTAAAATTTTTTTTCTGAGTTTGGGTATTTTGCATAAGAGCAGACCCTTTTGTTTAGTTTTAAAATGTGAGTTTAACCATAGTGAGGATACAGTGTTCAATTACTTGTTCTGTGTGTGTTGGTGATTTTTTTTTGTTTACTTGAGAAGCAAAAAATACACCTGGTATTGCCTATAGCAGTGTCTGTTTGGTGTGATATATTGGTGTTTTTTTGTAGTTTTTCTGCTTTACTGTGATCTTGCTTTCCTCAAGTAAATTCCACAGTACTGAAAAGAATAATGAAGACTTTGTCTCAAATACTTCATCTTAGGCTATTTATTTGTTTGTATAAGTTGCTTAATAGAATATGTGTATTTGCAACTTAACGTGATACATATTAATGTCTGAAAAATGCGGAGAAGCAATTCAAAATCCTCAGTTTTGAGGTTTATGAGCTTGGCATAGTAATTGTGAGTTTCCCTTCATAGAATTTTCCCCCACTTTTAGAAATCTAAAATCATAAACTAAATTTGTTGTGTAAAAACAGTAGATGCCCATAAGAGGTATTCAGATTTGAATGTATGTCCTAGAAAAAAAAAAGTATTAGTTATTAATTATCTCACTCTGTAACTTGAATCTAGTAATAATTACATCTAGGTTAGAGTAAACGAATAATTTTTGAGATGGTAATTAATTTCATTAAAGGATTTAAGCTTTTTAAGCTTTTGTCTGGAAATGTGATACTGCAGAATTTTTTTTCAGGCTTAAAGAACAAATTAATTATCCAAAAATAACTTGGCATACTTGTGTTCCTCTTGATTAAAACATTCTTGTCAATATCCTTCTTGAAATGAACACTGTTGTTTTCTGTTGTTTGTTTTTATTTTTCTTATTGATCATTATGAGAGAGGAAAAAAGGGGAGGAGCATAAAAAACGTTTCAATTTGCAGTGACAATCGCAATTACTGAAAACTGAGCTGATAAAAAAACCTATCTAAAGTTACTTGTGCACACCAGTGAAGAACATTTAACAAATATGGATATTTTTAGACATTTAAGATTACCTCTCAGCTTAGGTTTTCTAAAATAGACTGATAAATAAAATTAATGATTTCAAAAGGCAAAAGGAAGTCAAATAAATGCAGCGCTTTTAATTTTCACAGAAACAATATTTGACTTTGATTCTTACTCAGAATTTCAGAGAAATAGCAACACTTTTGTGTTAAACATTAGAAGTATAATTTCCATTCTAGATGACATGGAATACTAATGTAACTGGAAAATGGTATGTTTAACACTGTTAAAATTAATGGGTTGAAGAGGTATCTGTTAGAAATGTGTCCCTCTTTATTTCTGTCATCTTTACTGTCAAGAAAGCTTAAGAAAAGTCAGTACTAACTGTGGTGAGATTACTCTTTTAAAAGTGATAATCAATATAATTATAGCCTGTAAAAGTGTGAAATCCCTGAATCCACAGTTACTATGCCTTTGGTTAGAAAGTAATTATTTGTTACAGATGTTTCTGTAGACCAGGGTGTAATGGCACTGAGGTGAGCTTCTGTGTGTCTTGAACCAGCCCACCAAGGAAACAGGGAGTGGTGAGGATGGTACTGAACTGCTCGTTTCTGCTGCTGTATGAAGTTTTCCAGAACTCTGCTCTAGTGAAGATTCTTAAAATATAAATATTAATATAATCTTGCAGTGATTCTTGTACATGATTTATGTCACAGGACTTTTCTTGCTTGTGTACTTCTCGTGCTGCTTGTTTCCAGCTGCCAGTGTCCATAGAAGGATAAGTTAATCTACTTAAGCAAAGCTTGTGCACTGCTATTTTGAAAAATCAGTCTCTATTATCTCTTTCAGAATCTTATCTGTTCAGAGTGTGGAGATGAATTCACTTTACAGAGTCAGCTGTCCATGCACATGGAAGAACATCGTCAAGAATTGGCAGGCAGTAGGATTCACAGCTGCAAGTCTTGCAAAAAAGAATTTGAAACTTCTTCACAGCTAAAGGAGCATATGAAAACTCACTATAAAATAAGGTGACAATCATGGGATTATAACAAAATGAGCAGATGTTACTTTTATAGTGATAGCTGGGAAAAGCAGGAGTAGTAATTCCAGTCAGCAAAGTACCATGATTTATGCAGATAATTTATTTTCTTTGGTATGCTGTTCTAAAATGACACTTGCTTTTTAAAACCTTGCTTAAGTGGGTGGTTATTTTTGGAGGCCTCTTTTTTTCCCCTGTTTTTTGTATTTAGGCATACATACTAAGCATAGTTCAGCTACCAGCTATTTGGGAACGGGGGTTAAGTTCCTCTGATGCAAAGTGATTTTTGAAGTGTGTTTATGATTTTAAACACTAATAGCAGTATATTGAAGCAAATGAATATTAGTTTTACATAGCATTTATTATAATGACAAAAGTTTTAATGCTTTCATTCTGCAAAGATGTAACTTGTTCTTTGCAGTTTAATCATCTTTCTCAAGAGGTCCTCATTACAGCCTCCCATGAGTTTCTTGTAAATCTGAACAAGCACAAAATGAAGGGGAAAAAAAGAGACATGGTAAATGCTGTTCTTATTTTTGGTGAATATTTGTTCTGTTCTTTCTTTCAGCTCTCTAGTTTAACTTTACTTTTAGGAGGGTGGGAATTACTTTAAGTTAGAAGGAAGAAAAAGTTTTCTTGGTTTACTTTATGTATTAAAAAAGCCTCAAGTCTTGACAGGTGATGTCTCTTAATTTTCACTGTTTCTATAAAAAAGCAGATGAAGAAAATTTCCTATTTTAAAACAGGAAATCCTGTCTATTCCAGTTCTTTTTATTTGAAATTAATACAGGTTCTAAGATCTTAGTAGTTGTGTTGCAGGAGGTTTAAACAGGTGTTGTAAATTTCAATCTGCAAATAGAAATTTAAAGGTACGGAGTACCAAGTTAGGTTTGTATTGGTTATATGAATGTATTACCTACAAAAACCATTCTTCTTGTGGATAACTCCTGCGTAGAGATGTTAGGATGAATAAACTAATTTGTTTGACTTGTAGCAAAAGAATTTTGGGAATTTATATTCTCTCTTTCTGTGGTTCTCTGGAAAGTGTGATTTGTATTTGAGGGCCAGTGGTGAATATTTGGGCTGCTAAATTATTAACTTGCTCTTACTAGACTCCAGCAAGTGTGTTTGTACTCCATTTCATGAGATTTGCATTTTCTAGTTCAGGATGAAGGACTTGCTATGCTCTGGCAAGAGAAATTGAGTTGCACAGAGTTGAAAGTTCCCAACAAAATGTTTGTGAAGTCACTGTATACTACTGGCAGAATTTACCTTGAAAATGTCTGAAGAGAGCCTCTAAGATGTAATGGATTTTTACTGCAGAAATAACTAAAATGATTGGTGCATGTAGGTGTTGAGAAAAGAGCTGTTGGCATTGTTCTTTCAGTATCATCATGGAGTTTGGGTTTTCACTGTTGCAGCTAATACTGTGTTGCTATCAAGTTAACACAGTGTTAAAAAGGATGGGGTAAAAGAAGCTTCTTCAAAAGAATGTTTCATCATTAAAATTATTTATTTATTTTTTAATCACAGGGTATCAAATACCAGATCTTACAACAGAAACATTGATAGAAGTGGGTTTACCTATTCCTGTCCTCACTGTGGAAAGACGTTCCAAAAACCAAGTCAGTTAACACGACATGTTAGAATACACACAGGTAAGGCTGTGGAAGGACTTATTTTTGTTTTACAAAAATCAGTTAACCTCTGAAATGCTGTACATTTTTTCTCCCTGTTGGGACTTAAAATACTATTAATACATTTGGCTCATTAGATGCAGTTACCTGTTGGTTTAAAATAAACTTGAATTAATTTCCTTAGGAAATTTATATGCTTTTAAAATTTCCAGATTTATATGATTAGAAACAGTTAAAAAATGTGAAAAACTCTATAGATTTCATTTGTTACCAAATGTCAGTTTTGGTACTTAGAGTTTCAATGGGCCCTAAAATCAGGATCCCTAGATAACAGCCAGTCCACTGCTTTAAATTAGATCTTATGTACTCTAGAGATAAGTTTCTAAAATCTACAATTGCAAAAAGGGCAAAAGTACATGAGAATTAATGATAATAATAAATAGTAGTCTTGCATTTTTTAAAATTGATTTATTTAAACTTACAAAGTGATCTTGTGAGGTGATAAGCCTAGGTTTTGAGTAATGGAAGAAGCACAGGTGGCTTCTCATTTGCAAAATGAGTAGGAAATGTTTGTTGCTACATTTCTGTCATAAATATGTGCATGTTTAAACCATAAGCAATTGAAATAATTTGAAAATGCCAAGCATAAAATAATATAAAAGTTTTGAAGTGTACAGATGACTATAAAAGTATAGTTCTTACGTTTTAGCCAGGTATACATATTATAGCAGGAGTTTGGCTTTAAACAAAGTCTTCCTTGAAGATGTTCCAGTGGTGTTCAATATGTATTTTTCATACATATGGAATAAATTACTATTTGTCTGGTTTTTAGCTAATTCAGGTACTAATTTATGTCAGTGTGCAATTCGTTTGTAATATCAGTCAGTGTTATATCACTGTTCAGACAGTGATGTGATGAGTTGCCATTTACAAGAATGGCCATGTTTACTAAGAAATATAGAGACCATTGTGTGACACTTTCTGAAGAATCTTTTGAAGTTTTACAGATCTAGTTATAGAAAAGTAACACAAGAGGTCACCCTTGTACCTGCTTTAAAACAATTGCTTGAAAGTAATACCAAAAAAAGTCAGTGAAAATTAACTTCAGTATTTTAGATTCTTGGCTCTATCTAATTCATTATCTTATTCTAGTCAGAATTAAAGAAATAAGATTATAGTTGGTTGTGAATTCTTTTGTAAAGCTTCAAAAAGTTCACAGGTATTTATATATTTTTTTTAAGGCTGAAAGACATTTGTCTATTGGGAAACTAGAGATAGAAAATGCAGTCCCAATCTACACATGATGGGAGGTCATTTTAACTTCCAAGTAGCTTGGAAATACTCATTTAATTTGCAAAGTATGTTAGTAATCTAAATCTGCAGACAATCTCTCTAGCATTCGGCTGCTTAAGGTACCATAAATATGAAGAAAAGAACAACTCTGCTTTAAAGAATTTAGAATGCTTGAGTCTTTAAGGGTTAAAATAGCAGGTCTGTGTACAATGTGCAGCATTATGTTAGCCTCTTAATTGCAGTACTTTTTTTGTTCCAGTTAGTCATTTCAAGCACTTACATCCTTCTGGGGAAAAAATCAGGTCTCAGGGATTGCAATTCCCACATTAGTAAATAAGTAATGAATCCCTTGTCTGCCTTTTCAAATTGGTATTTTACTAAGTTATACTTGGGAAATACAGAAATTTCATTTTTCCACAATAGAATTAAGATTTTGTTTTTATAATGAGATTTGCTTACATGGGCAAACTTAATCTGAAGCAATACTTCCATGTGTCCACCAGCAGCTCTTACTGGAAGCTAAGCTTTTTGCCTATGAGAGCTTAATAGGAAATTTTGTATTTCCAGATGTGAATCAGTGTTCCTTTTTTTAATCTCTCAAAAAATACACAGTTAAAACCTGCAATCCTTAAAGCACCGTCAAAACCCCTAAGCAGCAGAACAGAAGATAGACTGAACAGAAGCTATATTCCTTCAGTGAGTTATATGCTTGTAATCAATTTCAGAAAAATAGCTGCTTTTGTTTCTGACAGTATGAATTTAATTGAGAATTAATAACTTTTAAGTAGCTGTAATTACAGCTATAAAATTAGAAGTCATATTAAAATATTTATTAAAACTGTTTTAGTGTGCACGTGGTAGTACTTACTGGTGTAGCAGGCATAACATACTGTGTGCTTGTACTGGTCTTGGCTGTGGAAATGTGCAAAGGCAAGGTGTTAAATATTTTCAAGGTTCTAGAGTTACCACAGCTGAACTATTTCACTAAAAGAAAAAAAGGGTTATACTAAGTTCACAGTGGAGGTTTCCAGGAGTTAATTAGGACACATGGTTGTAAGAAACTGAAATTTATTAGTAGTATGTTTATGTAGTTTTGTTATCTATTAATGCAGTCCTTTTAAGTTCTGTAACTTAAAGTTTCTGTGAGGTTTTTCATGCTTATCTGGAAACTTGCAAAAAGTGTAATTATGCACAGCACTGAGGGCACCAAATTTGGGAAGTTGTGACAGAGCATTTCTGTAACAATATTGGCTTGTTTTTCTTTAGATGTTCAACATGAACAGTTTTTAAAAGTTATTTTCCGAGCAGAACTGTCCAAAATATTATTTCATTACATATTTTCAGTAGGTGGTTGCAAAGGTTGAATGGCTCTTAATATTTATTGGGGAGGGGGAAAAGTATATATCATCTTTTGCAGTGTTACTGTAAGACTTTCTGATTCTGAACTAGATAACTAACAGTCAAAAATTTAACCTTTTATTTATTACTGCCCGTTTACCCTCTGGGTCCGTTTATTTCTGTGAAGGTGTATGCATTTTATAGGACTTGGTGTAAAACATATGAGGGTTTCTTTTTTCTTTTTCTCTTTGTGTTTTTTCCTCTGATGATTTGTCATAGCAGCTCCTAAGATCTTTCAAACCACAAGTAGAGGGAAACTGCTAAATAATTGCTTCATCTAGATTTCCTTTATTTTACCCATTTCAACAGATAATCATCAGCTAAGTCACGAAACTTTTTCTCAAGGCTGCATTTTCATCATAGTAGGTGCTGAGGTTGGTGGTCAAGATAAACAATTTTATTGTCAAAATCTCCTAATAGCATATATTATAACGTGTGCATTTTATTTTAGTGGATACAATTTTTCATTTAGATACAGGGAACCGCTGACATTGACTTGAATCCCCTTACCCTTCCTCCTGCTGCTGTTTCCTTGCAGGTGAAAGGCCTTTCAAGTGCAGCGAGTGTGGGAAGGCCTTTAACCAGAAGGGGGCTCTGCAGACTCACATGATCAAGCACACGGGGGAGAAGCCCCACGCCTGTGCCTTTTGTCCCGCCGCCTTCTCCCAGAAAGGCAACCTGCAGTCACACATACAGCGAGTTCACTCTGAGGTAAATGCAATTATTCATCGAGTCCTGGATGCTAACATGCATCTTAACTCAGTCTTGCTATTCCTATGTGCTCCAACCAGTATAGATTTACTGCTGTGATGTAGATTCTGGCTTGCTGCTTTTACCTGTGAGCTTTCCTTAGCTTGGTCTGATAAATGTATACTTAGGAGAAGTAGCAAAACCTTCGTTTGCCCGTGTCTTTTCAGTACAGGGATAGATTAATAAATAGTGTGGTTAGGTGTACAAAAATGTACCTGTGTCAGTCTTGGGAGAACAAGGGCTAGAATCACATGAAAGTAAGCCAAAAGCAGCCAAGCAGATACTGGTTAAAAATTTCAAGGCCAAACAGCAACTAAATCATTCTATTGTAGAACATACTTGCCATTTGTCTTTGAAGTATATGTCTTGCAGCCTTTTGCAGAGGTTTCTTTGGTTACAATTAGAAGAAAATTCTAGAATAAGATTAACAAAAGAACTGCTTCAGACCTCTTAAAGTCTAGTTTTTTTTCTTCTCTTTGACAGACAATTTTTAAGACTCAAAAGGTACTGCTGTGATAAAGTAATACAAACTTAGCAATGTGAGCTATGCAACTTAGTTCAGTAATTTCCTTGCAGACTTTAGTGATTTGTGTTTGAAAATACCTATAGAAAGAGACCTAATTTTGGTTTGGAAATTATGAAGTGATAGAGGTAGTGCTTTTTGCTTCTTTTTTATCCTGTGTGCACAATATCATCTTCATTCTCACTCTTCCCCTGAGATTTGCAGTCTCGTTTTCTCTTTTTGTGTTACAATGTTAGATAGTGTTACAATGTTAGATAGTACTAAGGATCCTTTTAGCATGTTAGTTTCTGACTTTTAGGATATGCCTTAGTATATGGATATGTCTTAATAGTTTGTGATACACTTAATTATGTCAAGTCATATAACTTTGAGAACTGTGTCCAGTTTGGACCGCTCAGTTCAGGAAGGACGTTGAGGTCCTGGAGCATGTCTAGAGAAGGGCAGTGAAGCTGGTGAGGAGTCTGGAGCACAGGTTTTGTGAGGAGTGGTTGAGAGAGCTGGGGATGTTTAGCCTGGAGAAGAGGAGGCTCAGGAGAGACCTTATCATTCTCTACAACTCCCTGGAGGGAGGCTGTGGCCAGGTGTGAGTCAGCCTCTTCTCCAAAGCGACCAGCAAAAGTCATCCTCAAGGTTAACAGCTCTCTATATGGGATAGCTTTTGTTACATAGAAAAATGCACCAACATTGATTTAATAATTTAAATTGACTTTTTTCAATATTAGTTAGGGATGAAGTAAAAAATATTTTTCACTTTTTTCTCTGTTACTCTGTTTTTCTGTAAGAAAGAAAGAAGCTGTCGAATAAGACACTTTAAATAAATCTTGATCACATCTTATGCTGTCTTTTGCAGTCCTGAGTCTTCATTTGAGTTACTACTTTGGATAATTTACTGATATTTTTTCTTTCTTGCTGTTGCTGTGTTTTCTTCAAGCCCGCATGGAACTCTATGAATTCTTTGTTTTATTCTGAGACAGTTACAATATAACATTGGAGCCGATAATGAATTACAGGTTGATTCTCGCTTCCTAAAGCACTGTTTAGTTGTAGCATATTTTATTACTTAATACCTCTTTTTGAAAGTCTTGTTGGCAGTTTAATGTCACAAAATATGAAATACTAATATTATATTGTAAGTACTGCAGTGTGTTTTCTTTTGAATACCTTGTTGCTTCCTGCACATTGCAAGTACCACACTGGATGTTATTGCTGTGTGATGGACTGAGGAAGGAAGGTGAAGATGGTTGGAATCTACAAATTTAACTGCTTTAATTATCTTAATCCATTGGTCTGAAAGTCTCAAACAAGTGGCTGCTAATCGCTTTCTCATTCTATATGTTTAAATTTCAGTTCAAACTAGACATTAAACTTCCATGCCCTTCACGGTGTTGATTTTGTCTGCATTTTTTTATCTCATACTTCCAAACTTCATTTGTATTATGTATGATGTTTTGTCTTCAGGCACATCTTAATTGATAAAGTTGCATTTCAGTTTTGCTTTTAAGTGTGGAATGGTAGGAGATGATAAAGAGAGATAAGTCTGAGACCTTGTTTGCCACAGGACATTTGTTTTGCTGTCTGGTGCTTCACAATGTTGAGAAGTGGTAGTAAACAATTGTCATCATGCACATAGATTATAGTTCATTTATATGCGAGAGGTACCAGCCTGATTCCATAACTGTATATTGGTAACTTGAAAAAATAATCCATTTTAGCTCTCATAATCCTGGAGTATATTTGTTATATAGAAAAATAATGAAAAACATAGTATTTGATAGATGTAGGGAAAATTTACTTAATTTTTCTTTTAAAGGTGAAGAATGGCCCTACATACAACTGTACAGAATGTAGCTGTGTCTTCAAAAGCTTGGGTAGTTTAAATACACATATCAGCAAGATGCACATGGGTGGTCCACAGAATTCTGCAAGTGCTTCAACAGATGTATCTCATGTTACAGCGGTAAGCTTTGCTTGGTGTATTGTGAAAATGCCTTTGAGAGTTTAATAGGTCTATATTTTAGTTCCAGTAATTCTTCAGATAAGTTAGAACTTCTAGACCTGTAGCTGTCTTTTGTCTTTTTCAAGTTTTGTGTGATCTTTGGTATTAATTTGCAGGATTAAATATTGGGAAAATGTAAATTGGCCAACTATATGCAAAAAAGTATTTGCAATTTGAGAGTTTGGTTGAAAATACAGCAGTTTAAGTCTGCAACTAAGTATAATTCTTGTTCTTACAGATGTTACCTCCTCTGATAAAGTAAAAATTACGGGGAAGTTTTAGAACTATTGAAATAATGTATTAGTTTCAACTAATTTTCAGAAATTGTTTGCATAATTCTCATCCATATAAACACTTAGTGGATTCTTCTGTATCTGATAGCTTTTTTTAAACGTTAGCTTCTTATTAGGCAGATTATAAAGGAAAAAAACCTAGCTTTATTGGAAGCAGTGGATGTTATTCTTTCTTTACCAAGATACAGAAAAGAGCTAAAATTCAGAAAATCTCTCTGGTTTCATAAGACTACAATATTTTTTGAGCCAGTGCATATTTAATTTTTCATATTACTCTTCTTTTCTTTGATTAGAACAACCTTTTCTACCTTTAGTCCCCTCTGTTTGCCTAATCTCCAGCTCATGTTTTATTGTTCAGTGGGTGATGAGTAATACTAGACTTTGAAAGAGGAGGGTTAAAATTTGAAGTCTGTACTTCATTTTCCAGCTGTGTCTTCTTGAAATAAACTGTCCAGTAATGTTGTTTGGGAAAGCTTTTTTTTTTTTACGTTTTCTGAGGTTGTTTTATAGGGCAGATACGATTTGTTTCTCTATGTTAATTCGTAAAAAGAAAGACTAATGTGTCTTATTTGTTTGCAAGCACACATATTCTCTATGTCTTTTTTTTACATTTTATATTCTCAAGCCTAATCTTAAATGCAGGATGGAAAAGAATTCCTTCATACTATCTCATGGTTTTTTTTCGCTGTCTAGCTCTGGGTTTTTTTGGTTTTTTTTGTTTGCTTAAATATATTGGGTTTGCTTAGCATATTAATATTTCAGCAGAGTGGTTTATCTCTGCTTGCATGAATACTTCACTGCTTGCATGAAAGAGGAGAATACAAAAAATCCCATACAACAGTATGAGCAAAGAGAGAGAAGGGAGAAAAAGATTCTTTCTAAAAAAAGATGCCAAGAAGTTTAGCAAGGAGGAGCAGAGATAAAAAAATTACATGTCAGTTGTATGTTAGAGGGGATTATGCTTTTTACTTGTAATTTTATATCTGAATCTGCATATATTTATTCCTATTTTTTTTCTATTGCTTTAGTAACTTAGTACATTATTAGATTAGCACAGGCATTATTAGATTTAGAACTTTCCTTCATTCGGCTGAAAACTTGCAGAGCTGCTTTAACAACAAATCTCCAGTATAATAATTCTATTCTGAAATTTGCCATCAGTCTCTGTCACCCCTTGGTACATATCTGGGGATAAGCAATGATTATGTCCTTATTAAGTACCCATTCCAAAAGCTGAAGTTTACTGAGGTGCTGTGCTACTGATGCCTTGGGTTTTAGCTTTTATATTTTCAGATTCTCGGCTGCTTAGTGTGTAACTCTGAAACTTTATGTTAGATGTTAGTAAGTTCTCTTCACAGGGTAGTTAGACAAAACAATCCCTTCCCAGCTTGAGAATCAAGGACAACTGGTACCCAAAAAGCAGAAACAACAGCTAAGGGAAGAGGGCAAGCCAGGGGGTCGAGACTTCATAACCTGAAGCTGTGGTTGGACAGTTAACCCCAATATGTAGATGAACCAAAACTTATAAAAGTGTAAAGACTTGTAACCAGGAGGCATCTTGTATTTGGCTTGGGTGCAGCCCTGGCCAGGCTCTTGCACTGCCCAAGGTGTATCCTTTCAATAAATACCTATTTTATTACTTTTGCTCTGCCTAGTCTCTGTTCAGGTCAGCCTTTCCAGGCATCACTACCAAAGAATGTACTCTTGTGGGATACATGAGAATGTTTTCTAAACTATAGTGACTGTAAGGCTGTCATTTTGCTGTCATTTGCTGCATTAATATTTATAGCTAAGATGATTTTGTGTACTTCTGTTTCTCTCACATAGTCTGATTTCTCTGTGCTGCATTTCTGCGTTGTATCAGCTGTGTTTTTCTTCTTTTTGATAAAGATTTAAAATATTTTGATTTCTTTGTAGGACTCTGTCACCCAGCCTTTAGCAACATCCCCATCTAATCTTCTGCAACCTGTTGATAACAAATGGAAGAATGTAAGTATGGAGTTTTTGTCATATTTTTGTGTCGGGACTATAACTAGGAGAAACTTTACATAATTTTGTAAATTTTCATTTAACTGGTGAAAAGGTGATACTTTGTGATAAGTTGGATCAGCTAATATGTGATGGGAAACTCCTTGGTGAATGCAGCTGGTTATTTAGAGGTGGAATAGGTCTTGAATGGGTTATATTGCCTCATTTGTTTACAAACTCATGATTTTGCATGTAAGTCTGTTCAATAGCTTTTCTATATAAAAAGACCAAATAGTAAGGATTCTTAAAAATCCTGGATTGCCCTACCTCTCTGCCTTTATTTTGCAGTCATTACCATGGTTTGGTTGGAGAGGGAAGGAGCTGTGTTCGTACAGGTTGAGTTGATTGGAATCTAGACAGCAGAGGAACTGTGGGGCTCAGGAGGAGCCGTGGAGCTGGGGGAGGATGATGCAGGGCTGACTTTCTGGAACTCCATAGCAAAAAGTTGTGGTGTACAGGAAGGTCTGTATGTGCCAGTCCCCCTGAGAGTTCTGGCAGGTTTTATCGCAGCTGTACAGCATCCTGTTTGTCAGACATAGGTTGCAGCATGGTATCTTAGGAACAGATGATCTTACTTACAATCTCCCCTTCCCTGGTACTGATTATTTTCTCTTGTACTCAAATCCATAAAACCAAGAACTGGGAAATGTGGCAGTGTTGCTTTAAAGTCACCATGAACAGCCCATCCACTGTAGGCAGGGCAGAAAAGGTGGAGGGGTGACACTGAATGTGTAATGAAGGGTTAGAATGTTTGGAACTCACGCTTGGCAATGGAGTAGTTGACTGCCTGGATAAGAATCAAGGGGCAAACAAATAATGCAGATATTATTGTGACAGTCTGCTGTACACCTTCCAGGCAGGACGATGACATTGATGAGTTATTCTTTGAGGAACTAAGGGACGTATTTGAGTCAACTGCCCTTGCCCTTAGCGGGGACTTCAGCTTGCCAGAATTTACCTGGGAGAATCACACAGCCAATACAACCTTGGCCTGAAGATTGCTTAAAGCCTGGATGACAACTTTGTGGAATAGGTCCTAAGGGAGCAGACTCAGAAAGATGCCCTCCTTGACCTACTGCTTGTCAGGAGAGAGGATTTCATAAGCAAAATGGAGATTGGCAACCATCCCTTGGCCACAGTGACCATGAAGCAATAGAATTTAAAATCTCTGTTGACAGAAGGAAAAGTGCCAGCAGAGCCTCAGCTCTGGGCTTGAGGAGAGCAGACTTCAGGTTGCTCAGGGAACCTAGTAAATTTAAGGACCCGTGGGAAAATGTTTTTGCAGGTGCTGGGGAATATCAGTGCTGGTCACTGTTTAAATATCACCTTCTGAGGGCACAGGAGCAGGCAATTCGCAAATGTCACAAGTCAAGCAGGCAAGGCAGAAGGCCATGCTAGCTGAACAGAGATCTTCTCTTGGAAATAAGACAGAAAACAAAGGTGTATGCCCTATTGAAGCAAGGTCAGGTGACACAGGAAGAATACAGAGATACTGCTTGTTACTGTAGGGACAAAATTTAAGTGACCAAGGCTAGCCTGCAGTTGAAGCTGACCAGAACTGTGGGGGACAACAAAAAGAGTTTATTCAAATGTATTAATGGCAATAAGCAGTGTAAAAAATAACATTGGCCTGTTACAGGATGAGGATGGTCACCTGACAAATAGGGATAGGGACTTGGTCTGTTCAGCCTGGAGAAGACTTATACTTCATTGCAGTTACAACTTCTTCATGAGGGGAAGAGGATGGGCAAACACTGATCTCTTCTCTGTGGTGACTAGGGACAGGACCTGAGGGAATGGCCTGAATTTGTGTCAGGGTAGGTTTAGGTTGGATATTAGGAAAAGGTTCTTCACCCAGAGGGTGGTTGTGCACTGGAACAGGCTCCCCAGGGAAGTGGTACGGCACCAAAACTGACAGACTTGAGGAAGCATTTGGACAATGGTCTCAGACACGTGGTGTGATTCTTGGGGTGTACTGCACAGGGCCAGGAACTGGACTCGATGATCCTGATGGGTCCCTTCCAAAATATTCTGTGATAATGTGATGAAGAGTTCCAGGTTTTTGCTAGTGAGAGGTATGAGTTGGGAGCAATGGATCCCAATGCCTTCTCCTCCCAGAATTGCCTGAAACTGCCAGGCGGCTTTCCAGTGACTCTTCCCCTGGCCAATAGCACTGCCTGGGGTTTTTGTTACCCAAGTGTTACCAAGGACCCAGCACTTGGCCTTGTTGACCCTCACATAATTGAACTATTGACCAAGTCTGTCCAGATCCAGGGTTGTATATGGTCTACATTTCATTCTGGCAATTTTTAGGGTTTTTTCAGTTGTCTGTTTGAAGTGTTCATTATTCATGAACTGTATGCAATGATGCAGGAGGAATTAGAGCCATCAGAATCCTTAGAATATGCTATGGTGTGTTTATTAGTGAAGAGATTAGCTGTCTTGTCCATCAGATGAAATATTTAGATGTGATTTCATCTTCTGTTTTGAAGAAGAGAGAGAAATCTGTCATCTTAACAGAGAAGAGGAAAAAAATTTAAGGGTCAAAGCTAGTCAAATTAACACTTGGAAATAAAGTGTGAAATTTTAGTGAAGGTAATTTATTCTTGGAGCCGCATATTGAAGTCGGATGGCAACAGAAAAAGTTAACCACAATAAACTACTTGGTTTAAAGAACTGCTCTAATTTTTTACAGTGTCTATGACTTGAAGTAGTTCACTCAAGCAGGCACAGTCTGTGTGATCAGCAGATCAGAAACCAAGGGTCATTGCAAGGTGCACTGTTCCAATTGAACAGTTCTCTATGTTATCTTTAATCGGATGTTCAAGTAAGACCTTGAAGGAGACCTCTGAAACTTTTCATAATTTACAGTGTATCTTAAGAGTAATTGTAACAAACTTCATATATGTGCATGTATGTACTTTATTGTTCAAAAAAGATAACCTCCATGAGACTGTATATAAACTGCTGTATAATACACAAGACACACTGGCTAAATGCATGTAATGCTGTAATTTTCATATCAAAGATGATGTTGAGAAGTTCCTGCATTAACAATTGATTTTTCTCTTGATAAAGCCTGGGAGAATTTTATACACTTCTAGTGTAGGCATCTTGCTCAACATAAAAGCTTCCCTACCTACTGTTTCCAGCTCTATAAAGGGCTGTTACACTCTTCAGCAAAGTGCTTTGCTTCAGTTCCTGTTTATGCCATTCTCATTGCAATACAGTGTGTCACCCATATCGAAATGTTTATAGCACTTTTGCTAAATTGGAATATGAAGAGATAGAGAGTCTTTTTGTGTCTTACTAGTGAGGTAAAAAAAGAACTAATGGTTAAATCAGCAAAGTAACAAGTGATACTCTCACATGCATGCAAGATAAACAAGATAAGGATTTGTTTTATATCATCTCATGATTAGGCATTAAGAATACTTCATCAAATTCACATGACATAATCTGAGTCAAGTTAATGTTTCTTAATATAGTCCTTTGTAACCGTCCTTTCTTTACTACAATGACTGTCATCTTAACTGTCTAGTGTAAAGTGCTAGTATAAAGAAAATCTCAGGGACATTTTCAGATTAGAAGGAAGTAGTACAAATGTGAAGCCTATATAAAAATAAATTACTGAAAGCAGTTGTTTCAGTAATGCTATACTTATGCACTCTGTTCATCATAAGAAGAATAGTTTATAAATGTAGGCAAACAGGAGTCTTTATTTCTGATTTTAGAATAAATACCAAAGCTCTTTATCACTTTTTTTCTTCATATTTTTTACTGACGTAGTCTAAGATACACAATTTCAAATTAAAATTGAGCAATTAGATTTTTACACTTCTAATTTTTTTTAGTATTTTGACAGAGTCTGATACGTGCTTAGTTTTTAGACTATGAAGAGATTTCTCTAAAACTAAGTGGTTTCAAAGGTTCCAAATTGAAGGGGAAAAGTTAGTTGTTTGTTCTGAAAGGTTTTGATACAGCAACACAGATAAATTACTAAAAAAATCTCTAATAGAAGGTTGTTTTTTCTGAAGGACCTGCTTGAGATAAATGTGAACATTAAAAAGATAGCCATGTCACTTTATTTCTTTTGGGAATTACTTTTCATGTGGCCCTTACACATGGAGTTTTGTAGTTGATCCTTCCCTGTGTTTTCTAAATTGGTTGAAGGTTCAGTAGTTAAAAGTAAATTTAATTCAAGCTATAAGCTTACAATTTCAAGCTTGGGAAGAAGTGGAAAGAAAAGGGATATACAAAAGCAATTCTATAATGCAGTAAGCAAATTTTGAATGAAGCACTGTATAATCATTATGTATTGTACAAGTAGCCATCCTCATAGTGGACAGTTACCAGACATTTCAGGTAAGGGAGCTGGACAGGTGAGCTCATAACGCATACTTTTGATCTTCCTTGACAAACGTACCACTGTATATTTCAGGCCACACATTTTCGGTCTCCACTTCTTCAACAGACAGAAAACCAGGTGTCTCCAGCTGCTGCTCATCAGGGTCAGCAGACTGTCACTGATGTCATCCAGCAGCTCCTTGAGTTATCAGAACCAGGTCCAGTAGAAAATAACCAGCCTCAACAACCTGGTCAACAGCTCAACATTGCAGTGGGGATCAGTAGAGATATTTTGCAGGTAAGAGCTCTATGTGAGAACAGCTTTACGTTTCAGTGGTTCCTTTCTCATTCTTTCTTATATTTTAATGAAATTCTTACATTTTAATGAAAAATTTTCATTGAAATTTCATAATTTCATTATGGATTTCTAAACAATTCATCAGTCAAGAAAGAAATAATTTATTGAACGGGTATGGACTGCACCAATGTATCTTTGTATGGCTTTAGGTGTACACCCCTGTACATGGATATTTTTGCTAATTCTTTAAGCCTTCTGTTTTCCTGTTGCCTAGAAGCAGCTTTTGGCATGTCCTTAGGATATGCAGTGCTTAAAGCATGATATCATTCAGGAGGGAAAAATATTTTTATCTGGTTAAAAATGAGAATGTATTTACCCTGTTCTAATTAATAAGGGCTATCTGAATATTTCCTATTTGTGCAAAATTTTTTTCCCAAGGTCAGACAGTGTTTTTCCTAAAAACTTATTATATTTTGTCCTTAATAATGGCAGGAGACGTGGTGTAACAAAAGAGATGTAGGCTGTTGAATAACTATCTGTGCTTGTTCTGCAGCCTGCACCACATAAAGGCACAAACAGGAGGGATCAGGGAAGAGAATAATATTCTTTAGTGTTAGTGGTATCCTATAAGGTACATTTTCATCTCTAGACTTTTAAGTACCATTTAAATTTGGGTTTGGAAGACCCAAATGTTATATGTGGCTATGGGCAAGTTCGCCCTGTTACCTGTGCTGAGTTCTCTAAAGTCTGGAATGTGATAAGGAATTGCAAAGAGTAAAAACATGATACATAACTATTATCATGATAAGTGTTTAAAAAAAAAAAAAAAAGTTGTTTCCTGAAAGGCAGCTGCTGGCAAATGTGTAAGTACAGAAAATCCAACCTAAAATTTCAGAGACAGAAATCAGTGCTGTGTAATAATGTGTTTGCAGGTTTGAAATGCAGCTGAAATTTCATGACAATGAGACATTTAATTCCTTTAATTATATTTGCATTGTGTCTTCTGAGTACTTGTTTGAGAAAAGTTGGGGATAACTGTGGATTGTTTCATCCTTAATCTAGAAGTTTTTTTTGTTCTTCTTTTAGCAAGCATTAGAGAACAGCGGGTTGTCATCAATTCCTGTCTCTGCACATTCTACTGACTGCAGCCAGGCTAAGGCTGCTGGGGCCCAGGATCAGAACCCAGATGTCCCGAGTCTCTCAAATCACCAGGGTGATTCTAATAGTGCCGAACAAGATAAGGAGCAAGAGAGTACAGATAAACTAGATAAAAAAGAAAAAAAGTTCATTAAGAAAAAATCACCATTTTTGCCTGGTAATATTTCCACTGCTTTCTACTTCCTGTGCTGTAAAGAGTGTAGCAATTGTGGCTGTGTTTATGACTTTATGAAGGGATTTCCCAAAATGTGTTGTGGATTAGTTATGAACAGTATTTGTTCTTACCAAAAACACAATGTAAGGTATGATTAATAGTATTTGTAATTTTCATTTTAAAATATATTTTCATTAAAAAAACATGTTAAGATAGAATGAAGTGAAATTATACTTCTAAATCTTTTGGATTAAATCCAGAAGATGGATTTAATGTACAAAGAGGAGTTGTACAAAAAGGACAAAAAAAGTGTGAATCTATTATTCTCTCTCATCGTCCTTCTCTGACAAGGACTGGGTTTTCATTGTGTCCCAGAGTAAAGAGTTCTTGCAAGGACTATTCTTCCCCTTTGGAAAAGAGGTCTTACAGAGGCATAAGGGCAGGACTGCAGATCTTGGCTGATCCCATGACGGGAAGGACGAAGGCGGCATTATGAATAATTCTTCATGTCACCTGTCTCTGGAATCTCAGTACTGATATGATATTGTCACCACAAATACACGTTACTATTCTGCCTCTGTATATTGTGTTGTGTATATGCAAGCCTGCCTTTTGTTTCTGTGTGCTTAAATGCGACTTCAGTTTCAAGGTTGCTTGGGCTTTATGGCAACTACAATTGTTTGTTCCAAGTAAAACCTTCATACTTAAGCTGCCGGCCTGGTATATACAGTGCTATAATGCAGGCTTTGATGTCTATCTATAGTATCTTCACAGGTGCCTTGATGTTGCTTGTCTTTTGCAAGGGATGGAGAAATTGATCCAAAGTAAAATCTCATCTTCTTCAGTATAGCTGTGATAAAAATTAACATTAAATTGTTCCTCAGTGAATAATTATTTGCTACTTGTGTTTAAGAGTAACAACTCTAGCTGTGACTAAAAAAAAAAAAATAAAAGGTCACTTCCGTACGGTCAAACACAACCACTTTTGTTTTTTGATAAAGTAACATGACCTCAGTGTGTTGACATAAAAAGAAACACTAGGTTAACTGATTTAAATAAGCAAACAATCTGATATATGAATAAAAAACTCAGAGAGAAGGGTTTTCTTTGATTTTTCTGTTGAGAAAAAATGTCCTGTTCCCTTAGGGCAGACCTTAGGGTTCTTGGATCATAAAACGACTTTTGTAAAAAAAGTAGACTTAAATTGTTAATCTATCAGAAGGACTTGCACGGTTTTTCTTCCTTTACAAGTCTACAAAATGTAATTTAAGTCTGAATTTGTAAAAGAGAGGGTCAAGCAAAGTATCTCCTCCAGTTAGATAAGTGTTAAGTACATAAAATAATTTGGTGTGGTTGTGGTTGAGGATTTAAAATCATTGTTGGATAAATTTTTGTTAGATACATTATTTTTAAGTTAATGGGTGTATTATATTGCATTTACAGCTGCATTCTACATTTTTAAGTGGCATAAAATTGCGTTGTTTGAATTTTAACTGGCTTCTCATGTTTTGGTTTTTTTTTGTCATTCCAGCCCATCACCATTTTCATGAAGTAGAATATATCTGATAGAGAAGTTAATCTTGTAATGTGTGTTGTGATGGCATCTATTTCACAAAGTATTTTATTGTCTGATTGCTTTGTACAATAGCATCAATGTAGCGGGATTTTTCAAGAATTGTTAGAAAGTTTAAAAAGCATTCATTTTGATATTCCTTGTTTTAGGTTCTATACGTGAAGAAAATGGAATCAGGTGGCATGTTTGTCCATATTGCTCTAAAGAATTTAAAAAACCAAGTGATTTAGTGCGCCACATTCGCATTCACACCCATGAGAAGCCATTCAAGTGTCCCCAGTGTTTCCGCGCCTTTGCTGTGAAGAGCACTCTAACAGCACACATAAAAACACACACTGGCATTAAAGCTTTCAAGTGCCAATTTTGTATGAAAAGCTTTTCCACCTCAGGGAGTTTAAAAGTTCACATTCGCCTGCATACAGGTAAGGCCTTTAATGGCTTTATGTATTCTATCATGTGGGTGGGACCTTGAATGAGAAAAGACTCTGAAATGTGTAAGTTGTAGACATGTCTGCCATTTCATTGTTAATATCTATCAGAGAATGCATCATTTTAGTGTTGTACATGATGAGTGTCATTTTTTGTAATAACTTTCTAGTGTTTCATGGCTTTGAAACTTCGGGCTGATACAAAAAACATGGCCTTTTAATTTTCCGATGATGAGTCAGCTGTTGTTCCTTTCTAATATCACTATTCTGAATGTATTTAATTGTGTTTTCTAAAGAGTCATGCTCTTGCGATTTGACTTCTGGTTTTACTTATCCTCAGTCATTTTTAATACTTGCTCTGCATCTTCCTTCCCCCTCCCCGCACGTTTTGATAATTTCACCGTAACACTCAGGACTGGTTATTTGCATTTTATGTTCTACATTACAGTGTTGCTCCATGTTTTCACCAACTTACTTGTTTTCAGCATCTTACACTGAATATCCTAGAACTCTTCTGATCATATGGTCTTTGTTTACATAATATGTGATGTCTTCAAAACCTTTTTATGTGATTGAACTATCCTTTCCACCAAGAGCAATGAATTTTCTGCTTTTGGTAGGCTACCTGGTTGTTTTCCAAGTTCTTTCTTTGTTCATATAGGTAAATGAAGTTTCAGCAAGATAAATGTGCTGCTCTTCCCTTTAATTCCTGTTTATGTAATTACCATCTGCAAAAGTATAATTTATTGTCTTAGGTGCATTTGGAATCCAATGTGTTTTAGAATTAGATTTATTTTATCCACGAAATATCAGTGTTGGATTCATCTGCAGAAAGTCTTCGCTTTTTTTTGTCCACTTGTAAACCAGCTTTTTTTTCTGCTAGTTTAAAGTCTGGCTTACCTCTTACAAGCATTCAGATTTAATTCAGAGTGGCAGAAGCACTAGGTGGCTTGGAAAACAGGTAGTCCAGTGTTTATGGAACTGCTCTGTAGTTTCAGATAATGTTTCATTTATTGCATTGTGAAGAATGGTTCATTCTTCTACATTTTTTCTGCCTGTGATTGAACTTGATAAAAGCTGTCTTCATAATACCCAGTCACATTTCCTAGCCTTTTAAGTGCAAGATTTCCCCTTGAACAAAACTGTAAAGTTATTCAGCTTTGCCTGGCTCTAATTTACCAAGTTCTCTAGGAAATCTCTCCCAGGGAGATGTTTCTACTGAATTTTGCATTACAAAAGTCTTTCTTTGATACTTCTGTTGGCATGCTTTTTTGACTGCTGTCAAACAGAGTTGATGTTTTTAGTGACTGATCTAGAAGTTTTTCGACTTTGTCATATCCCTGTTCCCTCTCTTTTATCCTGTTATATAAATACTTGTCTGTATGTTTGCTGATTCCCTTTTCTCACAGTTTTTTAAAAGTTTGTTTTGGAAAGACTTTAACCCACCACATGCAGTTCTTAGGAGACCTTCTGAAGCACTTGAAAACTGCTGTCACTTTTGCATCTTCCAGTTTCTTGATAGCAAACTTGCTTCAAGTGACGTGTTTCAGTTAATTAGCCATTCAGCAGATTAGTTGTAATTGGGTTGTATTGGGTTTTATGGATCTATTTGAAAACCTATGTTACAATAAACACCACGAGAGAAGGAAAAAAAATAAATAGGAAAGAGAATCAGTATTCTGAAGCTACATTTTTAGGTTGATGGAAATAAAATTTTAAACTAATTTTCTTTTTTAATCTTTTGCAGGTGTTAGGCCTTTTGCTTGTCCTCACTGTGACAAGAAGTTTAGAACATCAGGCCATCGGAAAACTCATGTCACTTCACATTTTAAACATACAGAACTAAGAAAGCTACGACACCAACGTAAACCTGCAAAAGTTCGAGTAGGAAAGTCAAGTGGTCCAGTACCAGACATTCCTTTGCAAGAGCCCATACTCATAACTGATTTAGGTAAAGAGCAAATAAATCCATACTCTCTTGAAACTTGCACTACAACGGAATATAAAAGTTGCATTTTAATCAAGCAAAAGCATTTAGAGCTCACTCATAAAGACACACATTGAAATGAGTCATCAAAAACAAACTTCAGCAAAGTGACATATTTTATAGTTTGCTTGTACTAGAATTAATAAGAACAGTATTTTTTTATTTACAGTGAAATTGTATAGTCCTTAACAGTAAGAAAGTATGTACATTTTTATATTAGGAGTTTATTTGAATATTATTAGACTGTTGGTATAGAAGATATCAGAGAGATCATTACCTAGAGTCTTCTTAAGATGATCATGTTTCAGTAAACATTTGAAATAAAGATTACAGATATTAATGAGTAAGTCTGTTACATGTTTTTAAAGTATTTGTTATAATTATGACCTCAACTGAATTAGTAGTAATCATTAGTGGTCATATTTCCGAAAAAAAAAGGCAGCTTAATCCTGGAACCTGCTTTGGAGAATTCATCCAGTTAATTGAATTCTATTGTATGAATATTGTCACAGGGTTATGTAAAACCAGTTTTTGGAAGAAGCTGTGCAAAACAGTATGTTGTTGTCTGGTAGAGGTCAGTATTGTGGGTGAGGTGTTTACTCTTCGTTGTTTGATTGAACAGTCTGCTAACCCCTGACTTGTCTATTGTGCAGCTTGATGGTGGAATCTTACATCGGTAATACCTTTAGCTTATATCGATAAAATTGTTACCACTCTTTAAAAATCCTTTTGTTTTCACTGCATCCAGAATCCAGGAATTACTGAAAGCAAGAGTAGGGGTTATTTTGGTATCAGATAGAAGAAACTTAAATTTTTGGGGTGCAATTAAAATTTAGCTGACAGCTTCAGACAGATCACACAGTATTTCTTTCTTGAGTGAACCCCAGAAACAAGTATAATCTCATTTTTCAGTTTTGAAGAAAAGCTCCACTCCAATACAATTAAGATCTGCTCAGTGAAACTCCGATTTTTGGAGAAAGATTAATATTGACAAGAAATACTATAGAATTTATTTCCTATGTATGCTGATAACACATGAACTCTGCTGATATTAGAATGTTCAATGTAAAAATAAGTTCTACTGTTTATCTAGAAGGTGTCATGTTTTTTCAACCCCTTGATAATATTTCCACATTTTTACTCCTTCGCCCCCCCAAAAATAATCATAGTTCTTTTAGAGATGTCAAGAACCTAATAATGTTACTTTATAATAGTGTTAGTCTTTGAGTGGCACTTCTGGTGATATATATCTTGCTTTCTAAATTTTTTCTAAAAGCCTGTGAAAAAAAGTCTGCAAATTGTTCTCTACCTGTTTCAATGCTTTTCACAAAAGGCTTATTAAATATTAGCCAAGTTGTATACCTGATAATACCTGATATACATTGATTAAATATCATTTGCTAAGGTCGAGGTTGGAAGAAGATATTATTGGATTAGCAATGAATTCATAACTGTCAAATTTTTCTAGAGTTAATGCTTATTTTGGGCAAGGCTGCTACTGTAATGAGGTGGACCTGTTAATAAATGAAGAACTTACTACTAAAATGCCATGTACAGTATAATATCTATAATGCTAAATAGATGTGTGCATAATTTTAAGTAAATGCTGAGAATATGCACAATTTCTTTCTATTTTTGGACACCACAAGTTTAGTCATGCTTTCTTTTCAAATACTAGCTCTACTGACTACTGCATCTTTGGAATAACTTTGCCAATTAATTTTTCTTTTTTTTTTGTGTGTGTGTGTTTATGTATGCAGGTCTTATCCAGCCAATCCCGAGGAATAGCCAGGTCTTCCAAAACTATTTTAACAATAATTTTGTGAATAATGCAGAGAGACCATACAAATGCTATTATTGCCATCGAGCCTATAAAAAATCTTGTCATCTTAAACAACACATCAGGTAAAATAAGCACAGTAAAGAAAGGAAATGTATGCCATAACAAATTTGTGGAAAGGCATGAAATTGATATAGTATTCGCCGAAAAGACTTTTTTTTTACCATCTCTTAAACACTGAACCAGTGATAATTGATTTTTTTTTTTCTTGTAGAGTTGGAGGAAGCTTTGGACTAATTCATGGTTATGTGCAGTTCTAGCAGTATAAGTGGTTGTGTTCAATGTGCAGTTTACTTTACTGGCACTTCGATTCTTTTTTCCAGAACTGTATATGGAAAATAACAAGCACTGTTTGTGAATTTTTATGGTAATTTTGTAATTGCATACTCCAGATTGCCTGCTTCATATGTAAATCCTATTTTTTGAGAAGGAAATTTGCCTTTTGTCCTTTATAGAAAACCTATAAGAATTTGAGTTTGCATTGTAATTGAATAAATACTGTTGGGGATCATTTTGTTGCTTGAAGCTCAGTTCAAGTTCCGTGTAGTCAGTGCTTGTTAGAACCACAAAGTCATGGAGTCATAGAAAAATGTAGGTTGTAGGAGAACCAGGGGAGGTAACTAATCCAATCTTGTTTTAAAAATAAGAGTAGCTTCAAAGTTAGATCAGGTTGCAGTTTTACAGGTAATGAGATTTAACATTTAGTCAAGGTATGAAACAGTGCTCTCTGACTTACAAACTATAAATAATTAGAAGAAATACGAAAAAACCCCACCTTAGATGATTACAAGAATCTAAGGGAGGAGTCTGTACAAGCAGGTGGTAATCTGCAATGTCAGCTCTGTTCTGCTTTCTCACTCTCTCTAGTTCAGATCATGGTGGTTCCTCATACTCTCTTTACAAATCACGTTCTGTATTTTTACATTCTCAGACTGCCTTGAAACAGTTGTTGGGTTTTATATGCTGTCTTTACCAGGAGGAAGGGAAGCTTTACAATATCCCATCTTTTCTTTTGTAATATCCTACCTATATTTCTCTCTGTCTTTGGTAGACACATTCCAGATTGATGGATTTAAATGAAAATAATTTCCAATTATACTGTAAATGCAAAAATATGATGTGGGTGCCAATGACTTGCTGCTGTGTTTCTTTGATCTTTCAACAGACTACTGATTGAAGCATGACTTTGTTTAAGGTTTTGTGGAGGAATTTTCTTTTTACATGTTTGCTCTTTGTAAATTGGCGTTGCTAAAATTAAATTGCTATGCTTGATAATTCTGTGGAGAGTGTGTCCTCATGGAGTGATGCTGATCATTGCTTGCAAAGCTTGTTTCCCTTTCTGAGAAAGGTGGAAATTTGTAGTATAGGTATTTTCAGTAGAGCAGTGACTGTGAATGGTGTGTCAAATAATCCCCCAGGCACACCAAAGAAAGTCAGGATACCCTACTGCTAATTTTTATTGTGTATATTAGTAGCAAAACAGTAATCTTACTATCTGTCATATACTTTGCTATGGCATCTGATGTGGTGGTCATAGACCAAGGTTACTGTAATCATAAGCTGTCCATAACTTTTCTAGATTTCATTAAATTTTGCTTCTTTTATCTTCTATTTTCTAGCATTCCCATTGCCTTCTTTGTAGCTCTCTCCTGGGATGCTACAGTTGTTACCCTTAAAATTCTTGTTGAATTCCATTTCATTTCCTAACTTTTCCTTCCACCTGTTTTGTATCTCAGTGTAGTCCTAAAGGGAAGCTCCTCTAGCACCTCTGGAAGGAAGAATATATTGACTGCTATGTACTTTGATAATAAAAGTAAGAGGCTTTCTCCACTTGAATATTTTTTTGACGTAGCATTGTGAGAGGCAGGTTTGTGCCTTGTTCAGGAGTTATTCGGGATGGACACAGTTGTTTTCCTGAGAGTTTTGTTGTTAAGTGTAGTGGTAGTAGATACAAGGAGAGCCATGTCTTTTTCTCCAAACTTTTGTGGACAGTTTTTTAGCTGAATTGAGGAAAATACATGTGAGTGATAAAATGCTAGTCTGAAGAACTACTACACCGTCTGGAGCAGAAAAATTAAACCCGCCTATGATGATGGAGATGTAGTAGAATCAGAAAAGGAGATTGGACTGTTTTTAGCCCTGATAGGTTGTTTGTAAGTTCTTAAAGTTCAATTTCAGGCTTTTCTTAATTGCAGCCTCTTCCATCCTATACAGCTGTCACCTTAGTTTGGTTTATTTTGCTCATTTTAAAATTGAGTCCTTTAATAACTTTATAAATTAAACTGTTAAATTCTGCTTTTTCTTAAAAAGGTCTCACACAGGTGAAAAGCCATTTAAGTGCTCTCAGTGTGGAAGAGGTTTTGTGTCAGCTGGAGTTCTGAAAGCACATATTAGAACACACACTGGACTGAAAGCTTTCAAGTGTGTTGTGTGCAATGGGGCCTTCACTACTGGCGGTAGCCTCAGGCGACACATGGGAATCCATAATGACCTTCGACCATATATGTGTCCCTACTGTCAAAAAACATTCAAAACATCACTCAACTGTAAAAAGCACATGAAGACTCACAGGTATGCTTGCAATTTTTGTATGAATCTTTCAATGTAGTTCAGCAGCCATTCCTTAAAGATACTTGGAAAGACAGCTTTGCTCTGTAGCAACTGAATATGTTCAAATAAGGATCTTTTTTTATGGGTAGCAAACCTTAGGTGCCTTTGTAGGTATAATAAATTGTGATGTATAGTAAAAATAAAAAATTGTTCATATAAATAGTACATTTGTCTAACTGCAACCATAAAGACTTTCTCACCTTACTTTGTAGATATGAACTTGCACAGCAACTTCAGCAGAATCAGCAGTCTTCTTCAATAGATGATTCTACAGTACATCAACAGAGCATTCATGTTTCTACACAAATGCAGGTGGAGATACAAAGTGATGAGCTACAGCAGTCAGAAACTGTTGCAACAGATCAGCAGGCTATTTTAGAGTTAGACCAGCAGCCAGTAGTAGGCACAGAAGAAACAGCACTAGAACAAGAATTGACTGATCAGCCTTTAGAGCAAGATGAAGGTGAGTATTTGAAATATGATAAGGTTTATAATGAGGTAAGTTTATAAGTTCTCAAATAATTGTTTCTTGACAGGAACTACAAAAATAGATGGAGTAAAGGCTACTTACTGTATACCTAAAAGTATATAGTACAGTTTCATTCATTGCTGTTTAGGCTTACTATTAAAATAAAAAAAAGATTAAATTTGTACCCTTTAATTGTAGCAATCAAAACTATTAAACAAATATACAGAAAAATAATCTGTCCGCAAAACCTTACCATGTCAGTTCTCTTATTATTAAAAAGCTGCTTTGTAGTCGAATTAGAAAGTAATACCTGTGGTTTGAGCTGAATGTTCGATGTTCTTATTTAATTTGTAATAATGGAACAAAATATTTTGGTTTTGTTTCCTTGCTCTTTCTTATGGTGCAATGAGTTATCAAGAACAACAGGGGAATATAAATAAAATGTACTATAAGCAAATATTTAAATACTTGTTCAGCTAATATTTATTTTTAATGCGAAAATTTGGTTGACTGTAGAATATGGGGGTTTCGAAACAAGTGAAATATGCATTTAGTTACATCTTTTTTTCTTGATATTTCCCCCTTTCCCCTCTCCTTCCTTTCCCCATTTCAGATAGATTTGTGACATCCCAGCATGCTTTACAGGAAAACATCACTCAGTTTGAACAACAGACTATAACACAGCAGCCATTTGATCAACAGACCTTATCACAAGGTTAGTAATAAATAAAGGAGGTAAAAAGTAGTTTTTATAAATCCAGCTTTACAGCATAGCTATGATAAAACATTTTCAAAGTGGGCATCTGCAGTCAAAGTAACTGCAATGCAGAGAAATTGGAAAAAAATTGCCGTTCTGAAGCTATACTTGGTAGAATATTATGAATACTTTTTTTTTTTTCTGTTATGAGCCAATGTCTAGTCATTTCTGTATGGGTTTTATAGTCAAGCGTATAATATTCTTTCCTTGATTGTATTTGAAATTGCTGTGGTAGTAGGCAGTTTGCACGAGTTTCTCCCTCATTATACATGCTCATAACCTGAGATGATCAGAAACACAATCTTAAGATTTGAGTGAGTAGCTACTGGGATTCATTTTGGAAAAAGGCAGTGCGAAATACAGTCATGTAAAAATCATACTTTCACCTATCCATAGCAGTTTCTTTTTATATTTTATTGAGCAATGAAACTAGCAAATGAAGAGATTGTAAGCAGTTGGAAACTCCTTTTTTCCCCTAAAATACAGAGAAACATGCCTAGGCATGTGTAGCCTGCAAATGGTGAAGAAATTACTGTCTTTCTATGCTTTTTTTTTTTTTTTTTTTAATTGTTACATCATATGAATCTACTATTTTGTTTTGGGGTTTTATCGGTTATTTTTTTTTGGATTTTGTGTCACGGGGGCTGCTGCTGAGTTGGGGAATGTTCAAGGGGTTTTAATTTGTTTTGTTTTGGAAGTATACATCACTGGCTTTACCTTGATCTCCTTGTTTCTGACTCTAGGAAATAACTTCATGTAGCTGATAACCCATAATTGGTATTCTATCTGCACAAACTTAGTTTCATTCCCTTTTAATTGTATAGCATCATCATTTCTAAAAACTTAATTGACTGTGGTAAGTTGCATCAGACTGTGAAGAAATGGTATAATTTGCCAATTTTAATTCTCTAGGTTATGCTGCTTTACGTGTAAAGAAAAGAAAAATAAAGTCTCCACCTTTATTAAACAAGATTGATCCAGATCCTCTTAAAATACTATGATTATTTTCATTGGTTGACTTTTACAGTTTTTCAAATCAATGAGAAGACACTACGGAAAAAAAAAGCCTTTTGTTCTACATTATTCTGAAGAATAGTGGTGATTTTTGTTTTGTTTTTTTTAATGGCTCCTTAGAATTTATAAACCCAATAAGTAACTATTGTTTTGTTATTGTATTTAAAATTCAATTTCTGTGGATGTGTATCTTCTGCATTATATAAATATAGAATGATTTCTTGGGGAAGAGAAAGACTCCTAGAACCCACAAAACAATTCTTTCATTATCCGAAATCTGGATTGATCATCAATATGTTGTAAAATTGGTACAGAGAAACAGAACATGTGTAGTGTGGGCATTTCAAAGTCTCATTTGTATAAGATGTTTCCTATTCTACTTGGAATCTCATCCACAGATTCCCAACTCTTTGAAGTTTCCTTGAAGATCCTGGAGCCCTTCAAAATTTTTGAATTTCAGGTAGGTAAGCATTTGCGCGGATGCATGCGTTAAATTGGTCGACCCTCTCCCTATGTCTGCATCTGTGCTTCATGCTCCTAATTTCTTTTTCCTATCAGCTAGGCAGAACATTCAAGCTTAAAATGCTGTCTTTTTTATTCTTGATATTTATAGGCTGTATTCTGGTTAAAATATTTTGCTTCAGTGTTTATTAATAAAATGATGTAGGAGTTTAAAAAAGATCTTTGAAAGGTTTTTTGATTTTTCTTTTTCCTTTTTTAAGGGAAAAACTCCGACTTTGCATTTTAGACAGATAAGGCTAATTTCTAGGTCTGCATAGACCAGGAAGAACTTTGCTTCTTCTTTCAGGTTTGCTTGTAATACTTCTGTTGAATTTCTTGTTTGTTCAGATAGATTATCTTTCCCATATGTTCAGACTTGTAAAGGAGTGCAGATCCTGTGAGGATGCTACAGTATCATAATCTGTGATTCATTTGAGCTAGGTTTGAAGGCTGAGGAAAAGGACTTACGTTCTTTGTAGTGCGTTCAGCCATCTTCATTTGAAGACTTTTAAGTGAAGTAAGAACCAACAGATGCGTCTTCTATCTGAAATTGTCTTCGGGTTATTGAATATCATCTGTCAGCAAATGTGTTTTCATATAAATTATATCACCTTTGCTTCCTTGAAAGTGTCCCTGTAAGCATGGTTGAATGGTAGTTCCATTAGTGGTGATAGGCAAATGATCTTGAAAAACTGGAAGTCCAAATGCTGTTAGTTCTATAGCCCAGACAAATAAACCCTTGCCACCAGAATGATACTTGCTTTCACTCTCAGGGCTTAGATTTCTTATCTTTCAGTAACTGTTTATAGGTATTTGCAGTCAGTACTGTTTAGCTGGTTGCCTTTGCCTAAGAAGCAAACCTGCAGAGCATGTAATTGTTAGTCACTGATCCCTGCTGAGATGCACGTGTTCATGTTGATGTTTATAATGTTAGAATTTAAAAGATCTGTGAAATGTCTACTAAATTAAATATTGTTTCATACTGTTACATAATACATATGTAACTATCATACCGTTGTTTTCTCATTCTCACATGCAAGACGCATGAGTAAAATTATTTCCAGAGTATTCTGGTTTTTGCTAATACAGGAGATAATAGGTTGGATAATATCCTAAAGCCAAAAAAACCCCAAGCAACGCAAATTATTACTTGTACTGAAAAACACAGAATTAAATTCCAAGTTCAGAGGACTTTGTAGAGGCTCCCCTTACTATACAGTGCTTAAGATATTCTCTGTTCTTGTAAGATTGATCAAAAGCTTCTGGGAAACAGCATACAGTGATGAAAAGGAGCAGAAAATAAAGGTTGTGAAATTTCTGTCTCAGACTGAGTGTCTGGGTTCTGTTGTTTGGTGGTATGGAAATTTTTTTTTTTCTGTTCTGTAGAAATAGTATGGTGCTAGCAAATGCTTTTAGAATGCTCAAAGCTGTCAGATCTTTTTTTGAATTTTGAGGGGAAGATGACCCTTATGCTAGGAATTGAGCAAAATGGGGATGCATTCCTGTTTGGTTTCTGTTTATTCCAAAACTGCTTTCAGAAGTAGCATTTCTTTCTTCAGTTTTTCCTCAAATACGTCTACATTTAGATCTTCTCTTCCTGAGCATTTTGTTGCATGATCCTGGGAGATCTTTCAGAATGTCAGTAATTTATTTAAACATCGTGCAATTAAATAGGTCATAGCACAGTAACTTCTTTTTTCCTTCTTAGCTAGTAAAATTTATTGATTAAAAACGTTTCAGGTTTATTTAATAGTTGGGTTTTTTTTTTTTTAATGTAGGGCATGTAAATAACATCACTTCGCTCCAGTTTCTTGAGTCTTGTTTTTTTGTATTCTCATCCCATGTAGTGGGAATGTCATTTTTCTATAGAGATACTTCTAAAATTTATTTGAGAAGGAGAAATTAGAAACCTTCTTATCACTGCAGAACTTGTCATTGCTTTCTTCAGGCTACGTTTTTTGTCATTTCACAAGGGGTAATTGAGGTGCAAGGTGCAGCTCTTAGTATCTTTTTTTTCTTGTACTCTTGTGGTACTTCTAGGAGAGAAAATGTTATACAAATTTCAACATTAGGTTTGGTGACTAGTTATGATCTGATTATGATAATGCTTTCAAGATGTATTTACATTTGTGAGTTTTCATTCTATGGTGGAAGCAATAGCTTACAAATAGGTGTTTTTTTCTCTACTGATTACAATATTCTGCTCTGGAAAGTGTATTGTGGAAAATTTTCTGCTTAAACTCAACACATCTAGGTTTTTGTTTACTGTTGCTCGAAAACATTCTATAAGCATTGCTTTTTGGTCTTTGATGCTGTGATCATCTGATGTGGGTTTGTTTCTACCCTGTTTTCATAATCTTCATTCTTTTTGTCCACTAAAGGCAAACTGCGCAGAAGTACTGAAATTGTTGCCCATACATTAATTACTGATACCTGTGGTTTAATTTTTTTCCACATGACATTGTGGATTGTTTTTTAATACTGGAATTATTAAGATTTAAAAGGGTTGATAAAAGGACATCTCTAGTAGCATTTAAAAACACTGCAATCTGAGCTGTATTTCCCTGGCTCTCAATCATTGGTGCTATCATTTCATTCATTCATTTAGAAAAGGAGATGATTAAGATCTGCTGTTTCAGGAGAACAAAACCAAATAAAAATTTCAGAGTTTCATACCAGAAATGTGAATAAAAATGTGTTTATTTTTTACTTTGCAGTTTGCCTTTGAGAGGCTCTACTTTACTATTATCTAAAGAGTGGGAATATGTGGAGGAGATCCAAAGTAGGAGAAAATGGGGTTACTTTATCAGAAACTGGAGTTCTCCTATTGGGTCATCTCCTCCACTCACCCGCCATCCTCCCCACTGAGCTTTGCATCCTTGTGATCGGCTTTCAGTGTAGTTAAGGGAGCGTGGTACCAACGTGGATAAAGGGAGATGGGTCAACCTGTTTGACACATGCATGCTTACATACAAGAAATTCAAAATTTCAATGGCTCTAAGGTAGTTGTGGCACCTTGAAGAAACTTCAAACAGTGTTTTTCTGTGGAGGAGATTTTCCAATAGAATTCCAGCTAACGGTAAGTAACCCTGTTATGCCTATTACATAGATGCCAGAAACGTGTTTTGATGCTCAACAGTGAAGAGTACAACTATTACTATATGGTAATGCTACTTCTCTCTTTTTAAGGTAGTCTTCAGAAAAGTGTGGTGCTGTTCAAAGTCCAAATCAGTGTATTTTCCAGGTTTATGACTGTTTAATTTCTGTCAGGTTTTACTGTGAATGACAGCTACAATCAACAGACTCAATTTCCAGCTGTACAACAGCTGCAGGATTCAAGCACACTTGAATCTCAGGCTCTTTCTACGAGTTATCATCCACCTGCCCTTCTTCAGGTTCCAAATACAGACACTATAAACGTAGTAAGTACTACTTGAAGGCAGGATTCATTGTTCTGTGTTCAGTCGTGGCTTTCTTGCACCATTTCATTGGTGACAGGTAAAACAAGAAGTCAGAAAAGTTTTAGGATTTCTTCTCTAGATTGCTTATGTTTAACAGCTGGAAAATAGGAAGGTGAGGAGAGGAAAAGTGACTTGACTGCAGTTTCTGAGAAGGAGATGTATGTTTGCATGCTCTAGACTTAAAAAATTCTATAATATTGGATTGTGAGTTTAAAACTAAGGAGTGGATTTAATGTTGCGAAATTAAATGATTAAATTTCTATAGATATCTATGATCAAGCAATGAAAAAAGCATTACAAATCTTCAGTGATCATTCATGGAGCTTGCATATTGCAGTGTATGATGTTTTTGCATGGTGCTCATTTAGTTAAATATATAAAAGGGCTCAATTGCTAAAAATACAGTTTAAATGTAACTTTTTATGACAGTAGAAATACCTAGCATGATGACAATCTGCTGTAATGTATTTACCATGATGATCTCTGAGTTACTGTCCATTCAAGCGTGTTTGCAAAGTGTAGATGTTGTCAGGGAACTGATTTGGGTTTTAGGATCTGGAAGAGTTTGAGTTATTTCAACCTGCAGGCTTCGGAATTTTCTTTGCTTCAAATCTTGAAATATTCTCAAGGATTATTCTGTTGTGGCTTTTACTTATAGGAATGTTCAGAAAGTAGTGAAGTCTGTCAGCAACACTGTTTTGCTGCTTATTCAGTGTTTAAAATGATTACTCTAGTTTTAAATTTACCTCCTCAAACACTAGAAAATCTAGACAATTTAAATACATTTTTGTGGAGATTCAGAGAAGTGTAAGTGCACTATGTTGTCTGTTTATTCCAGTTCAGTAGCTGAACGTTTTCATGCTTTCCTTCTCACTATGGAAGAGCGAACTATTATATTGCACTCTTAATTTCCTGTCAAAATGTACGAAAGCATAAATTTAATTACTTGTGTTGACTGTAAATGCTGTAATTTTTTTCTTGCCTATTTGTGAGACTCTATATAAATATTGCGTTACTGAAATTCACTTGAGTCTTTGATTTTTAGACCACTCGCTTGATACAAGATCAGTCACCACAGGAAGAGCTTGAATTGCACACACAACGGCCTCATTTTCTTGAGGATAATGAAGATCAAAGTAGGCGTTCATATAGGTGTGTTAAACTTTTACTTTTGTAACAGAATTTCTTCAATCTTTTGGGCTAATGATTACATAAATCTAATGAAAATTATTTGCTATTTGATTCTTATAGATGTGAGTATTGCAACAAGGGTTTTAAGAAATCCAGCCATTTGAAACAACATGTACGATCACATACTGGTGAGAAACCTTACAAATGCCAACTCTGTGGCCGTGGTTTTGTTTCCTCGGGAGTTCTTAAGTCACATGAGAAGACTCATACAGGTAAGTGGAGTATACCAGCTCTATATTAGCTTAACCCATGTTTGGGTTTTGTAAATATCCTGTGTGAGTAAACTTAAACAAATAGCATGCTACTTATTTGTTTCTGTTACTTTAAGGAGTTAAAGCATTCAGCTGTAGCATTTGCAATACCTCCTTCACAACTAATGGCAGCCTTACCAGGCACATGGCAACTCACATGAGCATGAAGCCTTACAAGTGCCCATTCTGTGATGAAAGCTTTCGAACAACTGTTCACTGCAAAAAACATATGAAAAAACATCAGGCAGTTTCCTCAGCTGTAGCAGCAGCTACAGATACAGGAGGGGGAGGTAAATGATTTCATTTTTACTTTTACAGTCCTTACTACATAATAAATAAGAAATACATGAATGCTATAACAATAGTGGTGCAAGATAGCCTTCCAGCGTGGATAATGTCTGCTTTCAGAGCTGCTGAAATCGCTCTGTTATCTGAATTGTTTAAAGAAATTAGTTTCCCAGGATCTGTCCAGTGCGTTAAAGGTACTGTATGTGACATAGCTACTTTAGTATGTCACTAAAGTAGAAGAGTTTTTGTCCTGTATTATTTAACTTGTGTTAGTATTGTAAAAATAAGAATTGTAAATCCAGGTTGTTTTAAAATTAAGTACAAACATGAATAGTTAGACTTCTAAAAGAGATTAAAAGTCCATAATAGTGCGAGTCCAAATACAAAATGTAGCGGCCGTGTGTTTAATAATAAACCCTTCTATTTTTTGTAATTTCAGCTGACAGGTTAAACTAACAGAAATGTTTTTTGTTGTTTTTTGTTTGTTTGTTTGTTTGTTTTTTTACTTAATAGTTGCATGTGTTGAAGATGATGATGAAAGCTCTGAAAGAACTTCCAGAAAATCTCGTCCTGGTGTCATAACTTTTACAGAAGAAGAGACAGCAGAACTGGCAAAGATTAGGCCTCAAGAAAGTGCCACTGTTTCAGAAAAAGTTCTTGTCCAGTCAGCTGCAGAGAAAGACAGAATTAGTGAGATCAAAGATAAGCAAGCAGAACTGGAAGCAGAGCCCAAATATGCCAACTGTTGCAGTTATTGTCCCAAAAGCTTTAAAAAACCTAGTGATTTAGTCAGGTGAGGAATGGAAAAATTATAATATCTTTTTTATTTGCTGAATAGTTCACCAGAAACTTTAGCAATAACAGTTGGATAAATTTTCCTTTTTCACAGTGGTTTTAAAAATGTGTCAAATGTTACATATTCTGAATATGGCTAATCTAGCCTTTTCATATTTATTTTCCTGCAGTATTAAAATTATTATTAGGAAGTTTTAGAATAAATTGTTTCTTCTTTCTCTAATACTTGTGTATAAAAGCATGTAAAAATCTGTTGAAAAAATGCAGATACTTAAATTTTGTTCTGCCTAGAGTAATGCTAGTATAAGTATTAAATTAATTCTAAAATTAATAAGATAGAAAATAAATATTTGTACAAACTGACATAAAAGTTGAAATTCATTTATATGTGTATCCCGGAATTATTAGGCATGTTCGTATCCATACTGGAGAGAAGCCGTATAAGTGCGATGAATGTGGAAAGAGTTTCACTGTAAAATCCACTCTGGATTGTCATGTTAAAACACACACAGGTCAGTTTTGCATGTCTTTGTTAGAAGCTGTTTGTTTCTTGAGCAGCTGTTTAAGTACAGACTTTGCAATAAATGCTATGTTTCACTGTGATTTAGTATTTGGAAATGTGGATGACTCTGCTAGGGGAAATTTGGTACTTGTGACACCATCAAGTGAATCACGTCTGAACATTCTGAATAAACAACGTTATTACAGCCTTCTCTGTTAGTAAGCCTACTACTCTATTAGTAAGGCTCTAAAGCATGGTCTTAGCTCATGCAAAAACTGTGTATGTAAGTATCCTGAATATGTTCATGTCAAATCTTCTGTAGCATTTCAATGATAAATTATTTTCTTGAGTAAGAAGGTGGAGTTGGGGGAATTTTATAAAATTAAGTTAGAGAAAAAAACTCCTATAAACATGAATATGGGTGCTGCTATGTAAACTGGAAATTAAAAGTTCAAAAATTTTGACCATTCAGCTGTCTGAATCTTGCAGGTTGAATGAAAACCTAGTATCTGTAGTACTTAGATTTTTAGAGTAGGTTTTTGTATTCCTATGAGACATCTGATTTTAATAGTACTATTTTTCAACTACGATTTTGCACTAATTAAAAAAACCTTCTATGTCTTCCATACTTGTTTTCTTCTTACCATTGAACTTCTGTAATAAACCCAGTCTTGGACTAAGTAATTTCTAAAACTGTCTACAGTTTCATTAAGTTTTGTTATTATCCCTTTTCAAAAATTAAAAAAAAAACAAGATAGAAAGCTTTTAATGCTGTAATGCATGATTATTTTGTTCATGGAAGCTCCCTCTTCATTTTACAGTATTTGTACTTTCTACTGTTGTTTAGTAAGAAATAGTACTCATGTTACATGAAATTGTTATGTAGATCAGGACAGACAGTAGCAGATAGTAAGGGTAATGAAAGGAACAAAGCAGGGATGGTGTCATGTACCTGTGGGTTCAAGCAGTTTACAAATTATGGGACTCTGAATAAAGAGATTGCATATCTGCTCTCTAGCTTTAATAGAATATTTTACATTAATTTTATCCCGTTGTTTTCTGAATTCAGAAAAACTGAGTAAAAAGGAATGGCCTTCAGTGTAGTCAGTAGTAGTAAGTTAAAGGATTAATTTGATTTTCTGTTTGCTCTCTTGATAATTTTGATCCTAAGCCCACTAGTTTTTTTGTCTGAGAAATAAAGACAAATTGCTTCCCCTTCTTAATGGTTAAGCTCTGTATGGTTGTACAGGCTTTTTGATAATATATGATGGAGCTTTGTAAATTATTATTTTAAGATCCTTAAACAGAGTTTCCCAACCTGCTATTCATTCTCTCATTCACGTTACATATAGTACAATTTTGAAGTTTGAGTTCCTTGCTCAGGTGTTTAAGAACTCTTTTGCTGACTTCCAGCCTTGTGAAAATTATTCATAGAAACCGTTTGTGTTCGGTCTTAGAACTGTTTTTCTTTAGTTCATGAAGAGACTCTGGCCTTTCACCCTGTGACAGCATTTTTGTTAAGGTCTTTTTGTATAAAACCAGCAAAAAATGCCAAAAATCCAGATGCAGTGGAAATCTGATGTTCTTCGAAGAGCACTCACAGATTTTGAGGTGTAATTTTCACTGCCAAAGCCACATCACCTTTTCCTTATTGTAATTCATTTTATCTTATGGGAGCTTTTCTCCGTGTTCTTTTATACTTGGTCCAGCTTGGGCTGGATGAAGTTCTGCTAATGTGCAGTTTTCTGCATTTGAGCCTGGATTGCTTTCTGGAATGCAGTCTTAATCTGTGGGCAATACCTACATCTAATAATTCATTGGATTTTATATTGAGTTCATTGGAATTTATATTTATTTAAATGAACAGTAAAAAAAATTTACAGTATTAATGTCTGTAACTCCTCTTAAAATAGTTCAGTTTGAACAGCAACTCTGTTCCTCACCTGCAGATGAGAGTTGCCTGAATTGGAACCTACTAGATATCAACTGTAATCAGCAATGATCCAAAGAATTAGTTTGGGGCTTTACTGGAAGATTGGAAGTTGCTCAGTGAGGTGTATGGTTCTTTGTCTGAACACTTAGCTCCTGCATCCTGATGTAGCATGAAGTGGGATAACTGAAGTCACACACTATTGCATTTCTGTCTTCATTTCTTTTCCAGTTTCCTAATTACATAACAGATTTTTTTTGACGTGTTAGATGTGTAGCCAGTAGTGTGACATGTCAGTGGCATAAAAGCCATTTAATTTTTGCTATATTTGGAAGCAGTGCCAATTTAATGTTTGCCATTCCTCGATGACTTTTCATCTGAACTTGTGATCATCTTTCCTTCGAGCTTCCCTTGTAGATAATAACTCAAAACTACTGAACTACTGAAAACATAGTTCAGCTGTCTTTGATTTTTCTTTTCGGATTCCTAGTATTGACACAAAAGGCCCAAGAGTGAGGTCATAATCTTATTGCATCTTTAAATAACAGGACTTCAGATGTTCTATTTATTCATTCCTGCTTACTTTTTGTTGGTTTTCTTCTCTCTGTCTCTTATTTTTCCACTCCCCCTTTCTCCCAGTAGGTGGAGATTTTTTTATTTAGTGGGGAAAACTGCTGGATGACTTCCTTTGTGGTACTGTGAATGTGGTAGATGACCTTGCTGCAGCCCAGATTCCCATTGTTTTACTGGTTCATGTTACTGGGCTCTTTCTTCTCCGTTTTTTGAAACAGAATATAGTCAGAGGTTTACTTAGTTTTGTTGAACAAGAAGTGACAACAGTGTAGCAGGGTTTTGTAATTTGCAGTAGGCTGAATTGTAATTCAGGAAATTGATGAGCGATTCTTATGTGTCAATGGAAACTGGAACTCAAAAGCAGGAATGATAGGCACATATTGCTCTTGTGTTTTCCTTACCAAATGCGTTAGTTTCTTTCCCTTGTTTAGCTAGGAAGCAATCTTGTGCTGGAAGGCCTGGTAATTTCAGGAATTATAGTGGGTTTTCAGCTGCAGTGGCATGTTTGCTGCCAGATAGTTACATTATGCTTTTTGTGAATTGTACAGCTGTGCATATGGTTAAAGGAATAAACTCTGTAGCTTGCTGTGACTTGTAGTACATTAAAAATTCCGTTTGAGACCAAGGATATTTTTCAGATGTTACACACTCTGAAAGGAGAGACGAAGAGGTCTGTATATGTATAGATCAGATTTCTGTACTTCTGGATTACTTTATGGGATTTATATTTTGTTTTGGAATGCTATCTCACTTAATTTTAATAATTTCCTACTTGTTATCCATTAATACTGGTTAGTTGAGGCAGTATTGAAACAGAAGAATAAAGCTGCTGGAATTAAAAAGGAAATGAGTGGCAAAGTAAGTAGGAGCCAAATGCTGAAGAGGTCAAGATGAAACTTTTAATTCTCCAGTTTATGAGCTGTATAGTTGAAACAGTGGATTAGTCAGGAAGATGAGATGAGGACGACAACAGAGGCATGAAGGTGACCAAATAAGCTTCTGCCTGAAAGCTTTAAAAGCGTATGGAATTTTAGTGAAAGGAAAAAGTTAATATGCCTTTCATTGAGAATCTTAATTCATTTGAAAAGCAGCCAAATAATAAAGTCCAATTATTTCAAATTTATTCTGTTCAAATTAGTTTAGTGTCTGTTAATGGGGTTTGTTAAATGGATTATTTAGTTCTGTCAATCTTTTTAGAGGTTTAATCACTTATCTTTCTGGTTTTTAAACTTTTCTAGGTCAGAAGCTCTTCTGTTGTCACGTGTGCAGCAATTCTTTTTCTACAAAGGGCAGTCTAAAAGTCCACATGCGCCTGCATACGGGAGCAAAGCCCTTCAAATGCCCACACTGTGATTTGCGGTTTCGTACTTCAGGGCGCAGAAAAACCCACATACAGTGTCATTATAAACCGGATACAAAGAAAGTTAGGAAGCCTGTTGCACGGACTTCAACTGAGGGACTACAACCAGTCAGTCTTCTCAATTCATCCTCAACAGACCCTAATGTTTTCATCATGAATAACTCTGTTTTGACAAGTCAGTTTGATCAAAATTTACTTCAACAAGGACTTGTGGGCCAGGCTATCCTGCCTGCTTCAGTATCAGGTAAAAATGGATGGGATGGTGATGATGTTGTGGAGATCAAGTTATGAAATTTGCATTCTATTAGAGTTCAGAAAGTTTTGCCGAACAATGCTTGCCAAACAGGTAAGAGTTGTCCTGAATTCATGGTTTGATGCACAGTGGTGACATGAATAGAAATTTACTTATTTAAGAATGAAGGAAAAATATATGCAGTTCACCTAAAAGTCTTTTCAATTCTGCTGTGGTATTGCACTGCAGAGAGGAAGAAAATGCAGATAACAAATAGGTGGAGTACTTGTATTATTCTTGGTAATACTTTGTTGGTTTTATTTAAAAAGAAAAGAAGCCAAACAGTTACTCTGTTTGTCTTCACTAGTTATTTATGTGAATAATGAAGAGTGTCTTAAGTGCATATGCTCTGCTGTACATGTGTAGTTATTTCTCCTAAATAGGAAAAAAAACCACATACACCAAAAGAAAACCAACCAAAAGACCCCTAACCTCAACACAAAGCAAGAAAGCTCTTTAGCAATATAAAAATTAGTAGTGTAGGTGTGTATGTTAGATAATTAAGTGTCTAGGATATGAAGTCTCACCAATTGGCAGTGACTACAGCTGCATTAGCACATTAAATGTACCACAGGCCATTTGTTGAGGCCAGCTAGCACAGAATACCCAGCATGCTTCGTGTTGCAAGAAAGTGACCTTTGGAGAATGATCCTTGATAATTTCTAACTTTTTTCAGGTACTTTTTGTGTAAGTGCTCACTGACCCAATGTTTGTGTAAGTGCTCAGATAAACTTGGGACAGGGACAATTTTAAGAGCAGAATAGTGTTAAGGCACAAGACGTGCCTTGGTACTCTTAAATATACTACTTAAATTGTGGGTCTTGGACTGTCTTTCATTTTTGAAAGTGAGACTTTGATTTTATGTGCTTTGGTTTTTTTTCAGTACGTGTCTATGATTTTGCAGGTATGCTCACAAATTCAGATTATTGTCTCATATTTAACTGTGGCCATTCCAGCTTATCTGATTTGACCTAAACTGTTGTCCAAAATGAACAAATAGTTGGTGTTCAGAGTAATATTATTTGACAGGCACAAGTTAGTGTAAACTTGTGATGAATGAAACATCAATGCATTGATCTTTGCTTGGGTTTTTGAACAGAAAGAGGAAGAGTGTTTTATCTTGTTCAGATGTGCTAGAAAGAGGCCTTATTAAATTGAGACTAGTAGTGTGGGTTTTTGGCCAAAGCAGGTATTTTTTGGGTGCGTTGTAAACCAGAATTCTTCAGTATAATAAATCTAAAGAGGGAAGGATAGGTGTTTTTGAAGCATCAACCAAAGGAAACTGGTTGATCACACTCAAGGTGTTTTGAGATGAAGGTATGTCAAACACAAGATGACTTTCATATATTGTCTCAAGACCTTTTGTGGAGATGGTTTGTTCAGCTTTTGAAATTAGAACCTTTTCAAGTTCTAAAGACTTCAGGATTTCAGTTGCTAATGCGCCTTTATTTTCATCTGTGTAAGTACGGAGGATGAACTTTGACGGTTTGATACTTGACCATGTCTGTGCTGTGCAAAATGTGGGAGTAAATTTTGTGTGTCTCTTCAGAGTCACAATGTAAATATCCTGTGTGTGTGCTTCTTTGTTTAGGTGTAACACTCTTTCCAAGGAAATCTAAGCAAAATTCTTCAGCTTTCTAATGCTACTCTGGAGGGATTCTTGTTTTGTAAGCCACTAGCTAGTGCCTAAATAGCAATCCTTAAGTCACATGGAATTTATGAAGCTTTATGGAATTTATGAAGGCAATCAAATTACTTTATATTTAAATTATACACTTCAAATTACCATTCTTGTCATAAATAAATGTGTGTGTACGTAGCTTTCATATTGATTTAATTTATGAAATAAGCACGCTGAAAGAGGTAGTCAGTAATGGTAAATAAAAACATTACAATATAACTGTTTTCTTTGGTAGCTGGAGGTGACTTAACTGTGTCCTTGACAGATGGTAGCTTGGCCACTCTTGAAGGAATACAGTTACAACTTGCTGCTAATCTGGTTGGACAAAATGTTCAGATATCTGGAATAGATGCCACTGGTATTAACAACATAACATTACAGGTAAGTTGCTCACTGTTCCTTGCTTTTAATTCTGTGAAATTACTTTGAAGGCTGATGAAAGTTTAAGGAGCCTACATAATTCTGGAAGAGTTCCCTTGAGTTGAGTGAGCTAGTAACATACTGTATCACTTGTACGATGCTAGAAGACTTAAAAAATAGCTGCACAGTGGGATATTTTTCTCTTTTTTTTTTTTTTTTCATTTTCGTTTTTTTCACGTTTTTTTACCTCTAGGGGATTTTTCCAGACTGCTTTAAAATACATATTTTTTTCCTTTTAATTGTATTTGGTCTTTACACTTCAAAAGTACTTTAGGTTCCCACCCAACCCCCAAAAGGCACCCACTCACCCCCTGAAACAAACCTGAATTATTGCACAGTGTTCTTTTCTAAACATAAGGCACTGTGTAACTTCGCAAGCTTTTAATGGTTGAATTCACAGTTTAAATTCCCATTGAGCTTGTAAAAGAAACGACAGAAAGAGGTGAGATGATTGCATTTAAAAGTTCTTGAGATGTGTGAAACAATGATTTTCTTGAACTTGGCTGTGTTCGATGAGTTGCACAGAATTGTTGATGTCGGAGGAGCCCTTGAAGGTCACCAGGTACAACCCCAGGGTCAGGGGAGGGACATCTGCAGAGCTGCATTGAGTTGCTCATAGTCCGTTTGCTCAAGGAGTTTTTAGCATAAAATGAAGACATTTTCATTTTGTTTTTCTCAACTGCTAAATGTGTCTGAAGAGGAAAATGTCTTATCTTTAAGTGTAGAGAACAACTGTTGGCTTGTGAAATGAGACTTTAATGACCCCTAGGAGCTGAAAAATTAAATAATTTCTAATATCAGTCTTCTCTCTGCTCCATGCTGTTTCACTTTCAAAGGCTTGGAGACAGTAATAAGCATTACATGCACTAATAGGACAGTACAGAACACCAGCAGTGTGTTTACCTAGGGCCAGGCATGCTGATATGTAACTGATCATTATTTCCCTAACATTTTGCTGAAGGAAGGGGGAGAAAGTGAATTGGAGTACACTGGTTACATAGTCACTTTAGAGACTGGCTATATACAGACACATAAAACTAAATTTAAATTATAAATAATTTATTATCAATTTCCAGTACCGTATACACTCTCTATGTAGTATTTATTCGGGACTTATGTTAAGAATATTGATTTAACCCAGTTTGTTAACTTCAGATTGATTGCTGAAAACTTGTTTTTCAGATTGATCCAAGTATCCTACAGCAGACATTACAACAGAGTAATTTACTTACTCAACAGCTGACTGGAGATCCCACCATGACTCCACAGAATCCCTCCCTCCAGGCAACAGAAAATGCAGTGCCAGCTAATGTGGTTATTCAGCCCATATCAGGCTTGTCTTTGCAGCCCACAGTAACATCATCTGCTAACATGACAATAGGGTCCCTGTCTGAGCAGGAGTCTGTGCTGACAACCAGCGCTAATGGTAAGCACTGTCAGTAGTTTTATTGTAATTTCAATTTCTTAATCTTACTCAGGGTATTACTCATAGCGAGAAAATGTCTCCCCCCTGCCTCTCCCCACTCGCACCAAACACTTCATTTTATTAAAATAAATTTGCAGTTCTTGCTTGAGCATCTTCAGCAAATTTTACAGCTTTCTGTTACCCTTTCTTAATACAATTTTTTTCAGAAGGTGAATCAGAAAGTAGGTTTAGATTAGATATTAGAAATTCTTTACAGTGAAGGTGGTGAGGCACTGGAACAGGTTGCCCATAGAAGCTGGATGCCCCATCCCTGGAAGTGTTCAAGGCCAGGTTGAATGGGGTTTTGAGCATCTTCGTATAGTGGAAGTTCATTCTATGGCCATTCTATGATTCTATCTAATGAAAACACTTAAGAACTTCCATAGTTTTGAGCAAAGTACAAAGTCTTCATTCTGAAAATCTTAACTACAGAGGAATAAATTGGATGTGAAAAAAATTCATGCTTTATGCTGCCAGTTCTAGCATCTCCCCTTGGCTGCATTGATTATAGTAGCTCAGAAAATATTGCTCTAAAAAGTTACGTCCAATTCCACCAACGGATATTCCTGGAATTCCTTGAATTCCAAAAATTTCACCAACGGATGTTCATGGAATTTCTTTTTTTGTTCTACCACTTTCCTTTAGGTGCACAAGACATTACTCAAGTCATGACTTCACAGGGTATGGTGTCATCTACAAATGGACAGCATGAGATAATGTTGACCATAAATAATTCCAGTTTGAGTCAAGTTCTAGCTCATGCTTCGGCTTCTACTACTGCGACCTCATCAGGAAGTCCTCAAGAAATCACTCTTACAATATCTGGTTTGTGTTTTTAAAAATCTTTAATGATACCAAATCTCTGTTTTGTAAAGTACCTATAGAGTAGTCTACGATGATTTTCACAGTTCACAGTTTTCCCATAGCATATTTTTCTTATATTCATCAGCTTTGAAACATACTCCCCAAGTCCACATTTGAAACCCAAACACATTTGCTTTGAGAATATGTTAGATTGGTTCACTGTTTTATTTATAGCTTCAGTTAACAGCTGGATTTTTATAGATTGATCAAGTTGGTGCTTTGAATCTTGATAAGTAAGATCCGTATTTGTCTAAATATTACTAATCTCAGGTATTTCTGTACATGTAAGTATGTGGATTTGCATAATCACATCTGTGTTAAAATTTGTCAAACTTCTGCATAAAAATCTGCATGTGTAGAAGTTAATGTTATGTTTTGGTTGTATTTTCTACTTTTTATTTTTTCATGATCTGTTGTAAAAACAGTAGCAGTATAATGCTGAGATGGTTCCAGTTACGATAGGAGTTATTTCTATTCAGGCCAAGATCTTATTCAGCATAATTCTGGAAGCACTGATCTGAACACTGGCTTAAGGCTGACAGCACCAACCATCAGCAGTCAGACTACAGGTGCTACATTAACTATAAGCAATGACCAGCTTCTTTCTCAGGGCCCTTCACTAAATGCTCCAGGTATGCATACAACAATGTTTTTAATTGAAAATATTTTTTAGTTCAAAAAGTAAATATTAGAATGAAATGGTATCATCTTGCACGTCATGATTCAGGAACTTTGAGTGTTCTGTGTGTTTTCTCACAAGCTTTAAATTGTTACGTCAGTTTAAATGAACTTTATTCCACATGGTAAGAAAAAATAAAAGCAAGGAGACATGTCTTAAATTAGTACTTTGAGGCAATTAGAGTAGTATTAAAGAATTATATCAATAAACTGGACAACAACAAAATCTGGTGCCTTTGCTGCAGAAGTGATAAAGTATCACTTTATCTAGTAGTCAAATTTTGAGATTTTAAGTATGTATATGAATTTCTACCTATATATGTTTGTATCCGCACGTGAATATTTAAATGTAATTTTTCTAATTTTATCATCTGACTGACAACTTTAAGTTCTTGATTAGCTGTTTAACCGATTTTGTTGATTTCACAATAGAAAATCCTAGTAATGAGAAACAGAAATAACTAAGTTCACTTAAAATATATTTGCAGTTTAGTGTTTATGCATGTAACAGACTTTTTTTCCTTACCATTTTGCGTATGTTCCAGAACTTAATACAACAGGGGGAACAAACCTTCCTCCAGCAGCACCCATATCTCAGTCTGCAGTTTCTGCACAGAATTTGGTAATGTCTTCATCAGGAGTTGGAGGAGATGGTAGTGTCACTTTGACTCTTGCTGACACTCAGGGAATGTTGTCAGGTGGTCTTGATGCAGTTACACTTAATATCACTTCACAGGTAAGATGCTTTTCTGAACTGACAGATAAATTTATGTTTGTCTTACAGAGCAGGAATTGGAGATTTTGTTTGGAAAACAATTTTGTCCTGTAAATACATAATATTTGAAAGTTTAGTTAATTTTGCTTCTTTCTCCTAACTGTGTGTGTACAACATCTAGAGATATGAAATGTTTGAACAGAAGTGCAGATAAATTTTACAGGGTTGTTTGGTTTTTTACATGAACAGATAGGTTCTGCTGTTTCAAACATGATTTGAGATCAGTTTTTGGTGTTTGTTAGACTATGTACTTCATTATCACTATTCAGTAATACAGGTTAGTACTCCTAAATACATTATTTCATATGGTAATTTTTTCTTTTCCAACTTGTGAATGGGAGAGTTGTACAGCAGCTGTGACAGTTCTTTTCACAGCAAGTAACAGGACAGAATTTAGTTGACTATCTTTAATAACAAGTGGCATTATAAGAAGTTTTATAAAAATGGTGCTGCATGGACTGTCATCTCCCCAGTAGCCTCGCTATTAGCTTCATTTATAGCATAACTTAAGAATATTGTGGTGTCATCAAGAGTCAAAGACATATCAGCAAATAGAATCTACAGAGTGGGGAGATAAAAAATTAAAAGACTACAAAGTGAAAATGGGTGTGTGGTTGACATTTCAATGTCGATTTTCCATCTGAAAACTTAGACTGTTTCTGCTATTTTCCTGACTTAACTAGGTTTAGATTGATTTTTATTTACTTTTTGACCTGAGTTAAAATGTGTAAATTTGTACAAATGAAATACTATTTATCTTGCATGGGCTGTGGTAAATACTGATGAAGCAAAGTTTCCTGGTTCCCTCTGCAGTTTTGCTGTGGAGAAGGGAAGAAGAGATTTCTTAAATAATTTTTAGGATATGTTTGTGGTTTCTGCTATCAGAGAATAACAAAGTAGAGCATGGTTTCATTTCAGACTTTGTAATAATTTAAGTGGTTACATTTGGCGGTGTTGCTGTTTATTTCTAAGATCCCATGCCTCCTGTTAAGACAAGTATAAATGAAATTGAAATATTGAATAATTATGTTAGCTATACAAACATAGTTTTGGTTGCAAGAAATCATGGTGAATAGACAGGTAGTATGTAAAAGAATTGTGTTTCCTGGGGAAATTGAAAAGTCGTTAAAAGTAGTGTAGGAATAGAAGTAGTAAGATATTAGTAATCATATATCCTAAGTAGTGATTTTGTGTGATGATTTCATGGGGTTTGGAAGTATGTTTAATCAAGAAATTTAAGTAAAGGAAGGAATAAATAAAAGAATACTGTGGGAAGACCATGCAGGAGAGCAGAATAGAGGGGTTAAAGAAAGGCAATGGAAGGCTAAAACATACAGTATTCCATGCAAGGCTGGTAAAACTTAATCGGAACTAAATCTAGTCTTACAACCTTACAGCTGTCATTGCCCTTAAATGCTTAGATATAAATTTAAAAGAGAAAAGGAGGGAAAATAGTTGCACTTGTTCAGATAGGATTTGGGGATTTTGAAATGTTTCTTCCTAAAGAAAAAAGTACCGTTTAGGTGTGAAAACTTACATTTCTACAGTTAACTGTTAAAATACAGCTTTTTAAGTATAGTTACTTTTTTTTTTTTTCTTTTTTGTGCTCCCCTCTCTGACAGGGTCAGCAGTTCCCTGCTATACTCACAGATTCCAGTCTTGCTAGCCAAAGTGGATCAGGATCACAGCAAGTCATACTGGTGAGCCATACACCCCATTCAGCACCTGCAAACTCTGATGAAATAACATATCAGGTAGATACTCTACATTTCTGTATCTTTCATGGTAAAGGACTTTTATTTAATAAAAATACTGGAATAATTTATTTTTATCTTGAGTCATGAAGGCTGATGTCATTCCCAAACAAATATTGGGAAGAGGTTCTCTGACTTCCTAGTCACCCAGATTCTGTTTTAAGTTTTGAATTAAAAACCACTTTCGTACATAGATCCATACACACGAGAATGAAATGTCATTAATAATGTGTTTCTTTCTGCAAATCACATAATCACACGTTCAGCACAGACAACTCCAGAAATTTCCAAGTAAGTTGGTATTTAGATAATAAAAATAGATAAATTTTGGAGCTGTGGGGAAAAATAGCACCTATTGGTCCACTTTTTCCATTCTCTTTCTGTATCCAAGTTGTTTCAGTGATGGTGCAATATAAAGTCTTTGCTACTTCTTATGCCTTTGAATCACAATAGAAACTCCTACATAAGCAATACAGTTTTGGATTAGAAGAAGTAGTTCAGACTAGTTTTCTTGAAGGCAGAATGAATGTTTTCAACTAGCCTGGTAGGGCAACCTCTTAAACAGGAGAAATGGGGAAGGTAGATGGTGACTTCATTTGTTGCTTTCTATGTTATTATACTTAGGATTCTTCTGTATCTATAAAGTTAGTATTAAATTATCTGAAGAAAGTAGTTTTTCCAGGTAGTTCTCTCTAATTAAAACAAAAGAATAAGGCAGCACACCACCATCCAATTCTATCAATTTTTCATTGTGTTTCAGTACTTCTGGAGGTAGAGCTTTACTTCCTTATGAAAATAGAATCCCCAATAAAGAAGTTAAACAAATAGAAAATATTCTTTTGCTCTACAAAATCAGAGAGATTTTTTTTCTGTCCAAAATGCTTTTGGCTTAGAATTTTGTTTGATGGTAAATTGAGGATCATCTGAGATGTTCAGGAGCATAAAACTGAATGTAGTAAAATACAGGTACACACAGTTTCTGTTTATGATGTGTGACGTCAATTTCGTCATCATTATGAATGTTGTTTTCTAAAAATACATACATGTGTCATTCTTTAGAGCAATGAAATAGAAGTTCATATTTACATATAACTGACTTCTTTTGTGTCTGTAAGTTGCTTGCAGATACTCTCCAGAAGTTTGTCATGTTGAGGTAGATTTGAAGAATAAATCAATGTGGATGTGGTTATGAAATTACCTGATAGTGTATTTGTAAATTGTTACAGGTGACAGAAGTCTCCCCTAATGTGGCTAAAAGCAATCAAGCAGAAAAAGAAACTCGTGGGCACCAGTGTTTTGAGTGTAGCCAAACCTTTTATTCTGTCACCATGCTGACGCACCACTGCAAAGAGGTTCATGGCAAGGAGCGAATACACGTTTGCCAGATCTGCAATAAGGCCTTTAAGCGGGCAACACATCTCAAGGTATTTGGTAATAACATTTGACTGTTCTCACAACTCCTTTTGTTTTGGACTTTCTGTCATATTAACAAAAGGTACCTATTAGCCCTTTGTCTTTCCTTTCCCTTTACAGTGTGAGAGGTGTGCATCTGAGAGAGGGAGTCTAAGTGATAATGTGCACAGATAGAGAACTCTCTTCTGGAGCGTGGAGAGGATTTTAATGCATATATTGACTACAGAACGAACAATGTTAATGCCTGTCATGCAAGCGGTAGTGTCAGGAAAAGATTTCACTTACTTTATTGTATATGAATATCATCAGTGCTAATCCTGATTTCCAGATGATCTTTTGGTATCTCAGGAAGTTACCTGCCTTACAGTCTTACCATTTCATTTGTAGATGGCTCTGTCATGTGAGTACAGGTGATAGAGGAAGCATTTGTTTTAAAATGTCCTTATATTATTGCTTTTGTCTAGTGAATTTTCTCTGTTTTCTCTAGATTATGAACAACGTAATACTTCCAAGTCTTTAAAAAAAAATTAGTGGTGTATCTAAATTTTTAATTGGGTTATAGAACGTTCCTGTTAGGAATATTGGGTTGTACTAGACAAGTGCTTTGTTTAGGCCAGTATCTTAACCTCTGAGACATACTTAAAGGAAGTAACTTAAAGAAGAGCTTTAAGAAAAGAGTAAACATATAAGTTGCCTGGAACTTTGCCAGCTTCCCAGAATTTATAGCAAGAAATTTTTTGAGTCAAAGGCAATGTATTTATAGTCATATATATCATCTTTATATTTATAAATTGCTCTCCAATAGATTTCCTTTCACTTTGATATAATATTTTAATGAAATATACTCTCTTTGTGAAGTTCACCCCCTTGGAGTGATCATGTCTATCAAGCAGACTATTGGAAATTGTCATAAAATGTGTTGTTGTAAAACTCTTAACCTCTGAGTTAGAAGAAATTTTCCAGGAAAAAACCAAAAGAGTCTTGATACTTGTTTCTCTTAAGTAATGATAACAAACTGCAAAAATCAGTCTCTCTTCAGTTTGTTTTCTTAGAACTGGGCTCAGGTTAAAAATATGACAAGATCACTTCTTACCCTAGTATGTTCCTTGGATTATTGTCCATAACGGATTTTTCAGGAAGGGAGAGATTGAAGTTGCAATAAGAAGTTCAAGGGCAGTCACAAGAGACTTCAGGGGCTTGGGATAACTTGTTAAGGGATCAGAAGCACGAGTAATCTTCTCTTCTGTCCTTCCAGTTGCAGGGAGAGGAGTAGGAAGAGGCAGGAACAGCTGGCAGATCAATAGCTGTTTCTGAGACTGGTATCACCAGCAGAATTTAGGGGTTTTTGATCATAGGTTGGTCTACACAACAGCAGGCCTGCTGCAGTTGGGCTGCACTTGTCTCAAAAGGGGAAAAAGATCTTTGCTGAGGAGTTAGCAGGGCTTGTCGAGAGATCATCTAAACTAGATTTGTAGGGAGGAAGGGATAGAACCAGACTTGCTGGAGATAAACTTAAGGGCAGCACGCCAGTGTTTGAGGGTTCGTGTTCTAGTGAGGCCCTTCAAGCTCCACGCCAGCGTGCCAAGTACACTGGAGCACATTTGAAATGTCCCTGTGCTGGTGCGTGCAGCACCGTAGCCATCTCGTTAGAGGTAGGGGAAATGGTCAGTGATCTGCTGCACCACTTAGACATGCACAACTCGTCTATAGGACTGGATGGAATTCACCCAAGGGTAGCAAGGAATCTGTCAGAAAAGCTTGCCAAGCCACTTTCAGTCATTTATGATGAGCAGTGCTGGCTTACCAGGGAGGTCCCAGTTGACTGGATCTTAGCACCTGTGATACCCATCTACAAGGGCTGGAAGTAGGATGTTGAAAGCTACAGGCCTTTCAGCCTGATCTCAGTGCCAGGAAAGGTTATGGAGCAGTTCATCTTGAGCGCTGTCGTGTGGCACATGCAGGACAGCTAGGAGATCAGGCACAGTCAGTATGGGTTTATGAAAAGCAGGTCCTGCTTGGGTAACATGATTTCCTGTGACACGGAGCTTGCTCAGTGTAGGAGGGAAAGGCTGTGGATGTTGTCTACCTGGACTTCAGCAAAGCCTTCTCCTGGAGAAACTGACCTCCATGGCTTGGACAGGTTCACTGTTTGCTAGGAAAAAATTGGGCTATATGTCCAGGCTCAGAGAATTGGTGAATGGAATTACATCCAGCTGGTCAGGAGTAGTGCTCTCCAGGGCTCAGTACTGGAGCTAGTTCTATTTAATATCTTTATCAGTCTGGCTAAGAGGATCTTTATCAATCTGGACAAGAGGATCGAGTACACTCTCTGTCATTTTGCAGATAACAGCAAGTTGGGCAGGAGTGGTGATCTGCTGGAGGGCAGGAAGGCTCTGCAGAGGGATCTGGACAGGCTGGATCAATGGGTTGGGGCCAGTTGTGTGAGGTTCAACAAGTCCAGTGCTGGGTCCTGCCTTTGGGTCACAACAGCCCCAGGCAGTGCTGCAGGCTGGGGGGTGGAGTGGTTGGAAAGCTGCTGGTGGGAAAGGACCTGGGGCTGCTGATTGACAGTGGCTGAACATGAGCCAGTGTGTGCCCAGGTGGCCAAGGAGGCCAGTGGCTTCCTGGCCTGTGTGGGCAATAGTGTGGCCAGCAGGAGCAGGGCAGTGACTGTCCTTCTTTACTTTGCTCTTGCAAGACTGCACTTCAGTTCCTGTGTTCAGTTTTGGGCCCTCAGTTGAAGAAGGACATTGAGGTTCTGGAGTGTGTCCAGAGAAGGGCAGCAGAGCTGGTGAAAGGTGTGGAGCACAAGTCCTAGGAAAAGCAGTTGAGGGAAGCCAAGCTTGTTTAGCCTGGAGAAAAGGAGCCTGGGCGTCACTTAACACTCTCTACAGCTGCCTGAAAGGAGGTTGTGGCCAGATGGGGGTTGGCCTCTTCTGCTGGGTAATGAGCAGTAGGATAAGAGGAAATTACCTCAGTTGTGTTAGGGGAGGTTTAGATTGGATATCAGGGAAAATTTCTTCACTGAAAGGTTTGTCAGGCACTGGCACAGCCTGTAAAGGGAAGTTGTTGGGTCACCAACTCTGAAGGTGTTTAGAAGATGTGTAGATGTGACACTATGGACAGTGTCTTAGCAGACATAGTTTAGTGGTAGCCTTGTCACTGCTGATTAATGGTTGGCTTAGATCTTAAAGGTCTTAAAGGACAGTTTCATTTACCACTGGACCATCATGTACTAAAACAAATTCCACCCTTTATCAGACTCTTTATCAAGATGTTAATAGCAGCTTCACCTATGAGCAGCCTTTAATGAGGCAAATTCAAAGATAAATGTTGGGGTTTGGCTTAGGATTTTGGGAAGAGTTCAGTGATCTGTTACTCATGGTATTCATTTTATACTTATGGAATTCTGGAGATCACAAAAAAGTTTGGCACTACCAAACTTCAGGCTTTTCAGAAAAATCCAGTAAGAGTTAAGGGTATCAGTGTTTAGATGCCAGTATTTAACAGCATGTGTTTTTTCCAAAGATGTCAGTACCAGCAGTTCCACAGTTATCCATAAGAAATTCCTCTTCAGAGATCATGTACAAGCAACTCCACCACATACCCCACCCCCAGTGTTAAGGCTTTTCAGTCCAGTGACTCCAGTTCTCCTTCTGATGTGGGTTACTGTCCTATTTTACAGCTTCAGAGAGAAGAATCTTAAGACATGCACAGTGTCTAAACTGTCCAATTTCATATGAATTTGTAGTGGAACTATCTGGAAGTTGACTTTCAATAGTAAATAAGGCACAGACATGATTCTAAGATGAAAGGAAAAAGGCCTTATCATCTTATTAAAACAATGGAATCAAACAAACTTTTTATTGCCACATTTTCAGAGGTGGTTACAATTAATGTTTCAGGAGTGATGGGGTATAAGAGTGGCATACTAATGCATCAGCCATTTCAAAGAAGGTTTCCTGGTCTTACTTTCTAATTAGATAAAGCTTGTTTGCTACCCTAAGATAATTACTCTCTGAAGAATATAAGAATTACACAAATAAAACTGTAAAATATCACATGAACAATCAGTGAAATATTATGTCTATAAAGAGATGATTGCACTTCAGAATGTTGCATTTCCATGAACTATTTTCAAAAGTATATTTATTTTACAGGAAAAGTATAAGAGATGCACAGATCAGTGGAACAGAATTGCATCATAAACTATTTCTTCAGAGAAAGTTGACAGAAAGTTTTACAGGGCTATCTGGATGATAGGTTGTTTGCTTTCAAGTAGAAGATGGGATGGGGTTTGTTGGTATTTGGAGGTTTGGTTTTGTAGTGGAAGAAAGTAGCAACTGGTTTCAGATAATTTTTCTGAAATAGGTCATAGTATGCTTCCACCATTTCAATGCTTGAGGGAGTAATGAACAAGATAAAACTGAAAGATTTTGTTTATTTCCACCTAAGCAGGAGTTTACAGGTACATTATTTTTCTCAGAAGACCTTACATTATTTCTCTATATTACTCTATTATTTTAATTACTGTGATAATAATATTCTTCCATGTAACTTTCTCAGTGATTTTCCAGTGTAAACAAACTGCAGACACAGTTTGCTTCTGTTCGTGGAGTGAGGAATAGGACTTCATAGACATCAAGAAGGCTTATTGTTTAGGTATAGTAAAGACTAATTAATAGTTTAGTCTGTAATCAAATAGACTAGAAAAGAATATCCACACACATTTTAGAAAGTGGACAAGTATTTACAGTACTGTTTCCCAGACAGTTCTTGATTAGATTTTTTTATCTTCATATATTTTTTATTTATTTTCTTTTGTAATTTGATTTTTTTTCTTGGTATTAATAAATTAAAAGTGAAAAAAAAATAATACATAAGATAGATAACATAAGATAGATAACATAAGATAGATAACATAAGATAGATAACATAAATCTTCTAAGTTTGAAAAATATCTGGGCCGGGGATCAGTATATTAAAAACACTGAAATTAGAACTCTTACTGATGCTTCTTCATGAAGAAAAAGCATCCTGCTGTCTTACCATTAAGAACTTTAGTGGTTTTATTTTTTGGTGGTTTTTTTCAATCAAGAGTCCATTGCAAAGTGGTTCTGTTTGCATCTTGCCATCACACAGCTATGTGTGTATGTTGTGATAGTTGACTCTTTGAGGCCTGTACAGTTTGACAGTGTTACCAATTCGGGTGCTGAGGAATACCCACGTACCAGACAAGGAGGGAGATGGATTCTGTAGAGGAGAGGGGGAAAAATCCTGTATTAGCTTGCAATGCACAGTTGTCAAAATACCTCTTTGTAGATGAACAGAGCATTTAAAGAACTGTGGTTTGGTTTTCTGAATTTTATTTTGCTTCAAGTAATTAGTAAAGGGCTAATGTATACCAAAAAAGAAAGACACACAGTTACTGATGAAGTTATTGAGAGAGTGTAAAGATACTGATGGTTAGAGAGAGTTGATACACAAAAATGATTTCTCATTTAAAAGAAAAAAACAAATTCAGGCTTCTGTTTTCTTCCAGTTTGTCTGCTGATGACTAAGATCCTCTGCTTTTGCCTGCAAGGTGTGAATATATTTTTATGTTAAGTACTGAGGTCTTTTTAAATGGTCTGAAATTTTTTTTTCCTATGCTGGCTTAGGAACACATGCAAACTCATCAGGGTGGACCTTCACTAAGTTCACAGAAGCCTAGAGTGTTTAAGTGTGATACTTGTGAAAAAGCTTTCGCTAAGCCAAGTCAGCTGGAGAGACACAGTCGCATCCACACAGGTGACGCCAGAAATTATTTTTATCTTGAGAGATTTTCTTATGAATATCTGGGTGTTATGTTTGGAGCCCTTGCTTATGCTTTCAGCTAACTGCATTTAAATGTCAACTTAAGCTTAAAAAAACAGGTAAATTTCTTACCTCAAATGCTTGGAAACTAAAAGGAGGAACAGCAAACTTGAAAACTCATGTGCTTCACTAAGCTCATCTGTATTTTGGGACTGGGAGTACTGCAGTGAAAATGTGAGTGCATGAGCTTGTTAGTCAGTCTAAAGGTTAGTCAGTCTTTGAAACAGATTAATAAAAGCATATTTTAAGCATTATTTGAAATTATTTAAAGGCACTGGTTATGATCATCCCAAATCATATGGGATGTGCAAATAAGGGAGTGTGCTCAGTGATGTTAAACAAGGGCTAGGCTTAACTGCTGATATTGACTGCTGATACTGACTGCTGTATGCAGTGTTTCATTATCACTGAGCTTCTTGCACAGGTCATCTGTTTCTAATGCCAGTGCTTTTACTTTGTTGTGTTCTTTTCCCCATATTCCACTTCTGCTATTTTCTTTAGCAGTTATTCTATAAGAAGTCTGTACTGACTCCTCCTAGGGAGCACTGATTTTCTGTAATATAAGTGCTTTTCAGGTTGCAGCTTCTGCCCTGCTGTAAGTTGAAAGCTGTACACAGGATGATAGCACAGCTGCCCTCCCTGTCACCTTCTGTGCCTGACAAACATTCTTCTTAAGAACATGAGTTGTAACTATAGGAGTCAGTTCTCTGAAACAAGTTCATTCTTTTCCCTATCACTGCTACCAATAAAGAGCTCTCATGGCTGCTAAACTTAAGGAGGACAGGGTAAAGTTATCTGTGTTGCTACTAACCTGGAGAAGACCAATGAATTTGGCTGGATGTGCTGTAGAATAAGATTCCCTCAAAGGGTAACTCTCTCTTAGAGTGAGTCAGCCAGAGCTTTCTCCTTCCCCAGCATCAAGCTATTTTGTGGTTACTACATTAGAAAGGAACATTCTGCTTCTACTGTGGGTAACTTACCTAGGTGATAAATTGGATAGGAAAGATAATATCAGTGATTCAGTACTTATGTAACTATTCTGACATTTGAGATTTTGGCTGACAATGTGGAGCTATAGCACTGTTTGGAGAAAGTCTCAAGGAAAATGATGATGTCTATTTCATTTCTAAATCATCTTGATAATTTTTACTGAATTCCAAACTGTATTTCAATCATGAAATAAGTTTTTCTTTCTTATAAAGGGGAACGGCCATTTCAGTGTACACTGTGTGAAAAGGCATTTAACCAGAAGAGTGCTCTTAAAGTCCACATGAAAAGGCACACAGGAGAGAGACCTTATAAATGTGATTACTGTGCCATGGGATTTACACAGAAAAGCAATATGAAACTGCATATGAAACGGACTCATGGTTACACTGGTATGTAACATTCCTGCTGAGGGCAGGAATCTGTATGTTTTGGTAGAAGAGCACAGAGCACTTCCCTGAAGTTATGGAGGAGTCAAGTGCTAAAAGCCAAAGACCACAGTTAATGAGCTAGTAGTTGCACATGCAATGCAAGAATCAGGTTGCAACGGCAATTAATTTCTTTTTATGGTTCCTTGTTTTTTACGTGGAGCTCTGAGTATAGAAATACAGAGTTGAAAATTCTTCCAGGAAAGCAGTATATTGTATTAGATTTTTAAAAATTTTTTTTCCAAGACCATCTAATCAATTTACAGTATCTGAAGTAATTTTATAATACTGTTCCCATCATGATTCCTTTGTTCCCAAGTCTATATTTGCATTTTTCTTACACCATACATCAAATCATACTCATTTGCCTTTTTCTCTTTTACCTTGGTAGGTCCTGTACAAGAGCCTGCAAGTCACCAAGAGCAAGAAGGGGAAGACATCAGTCGTGCTCTGAATTTAGAAGAAGTGGTACAAGAATCTTCAAATGAATGGCAAAATATAGGCAATGTTTTTCGATAACACCTTGAAATTTGAAAGCTAAAAATGTTTCTGGGACTTGAACTTTACAGTTAAAGCTTCAAGCATTGAAGATACTAACGATAGAATAATATATTATAGTTTTTTTTAATTATTTACAGAAGTTACCTAAAAGATGATTTTTTTTAAGCTTATAGAAGAATATTGGGAAAACTTCATTTAATCTGTGCTAAGTTGTCTGTGAATCAATGAACTCAGGTAATAATGTATACAGTTTCATCTTTGAATTTACAGACAGTATATCTATTTAAAGATAAACTGGAACTTTATATCAGAATAGAATGATTCCCGTTTTTAATGGGGATGAAGAATAACGTCACAGGAAAATCATGGAACTGTCAGTCAACTATTTTTTTTATGTTTAAAGAAATAATTGGAAACAAAGTGTTGCAGTTGATAATGCATGCAGTATAAAATAGTGGAGTTTTGCCGTTTTTTTCCTTACAAGGCACAGGAAAAGGCTGTATTTTTTTTTTAAGCTTTATTTTTTAGTGCATTTTGAAAATTTGTTGAAAAAAATAAAATACTGCAAGCTCATGGCTTTTCTTGAGTTAAAGTCTTGAGAGGGAGCATGTTCATTTTCATTCCAACCACAAGAGGCAGTTAGTTTTTTATAGTAAAAGTCTTGAGGTTTTGGACTTGGCAATAATTACTTAAAAAGAATCCAAATGAGAAAAGGTGCCGGTAAAAGCCTCTGTTGTTGTTTGCTGTACTGGGTCAGCAGGTGCATATCACAGTATCTGTGGAAAACAGCCATATACTAAATCTGAGAGGTAAACAAGTACAATTTTGTGGTAGCAGTGAGAAAACTAGATGCTCACTAGGTCACCTATACTATACAATGTTCCCCAGTGCTGTGAACAGTTACCATTTTGAATCTGTAAATTCCTTACTATTTTCTTTGTGGGTTTTGGAAATATATTACATTTATTTGTTGTTTAAGTCATTGTTTCAGCAAAACTACCTAGCTGACTGAGTATTGCTTTCAAAGGTGCCACTTGTTAAGTATATTCATAGCAAAGAAACACTGGAGTAAAAGCATAGTTGTCTTTTAGACATTCCAAAGACAGAAGCTGTTTTCTTATTTTTGCCTTGTTCTTTTGAATTTTATTTATATGTTACATATATATAGATATATATATGTGTGCTTATGTATGTATATATATATTTAAAGTTTATGAGCCTCTGTGTGGCTGATCAGTATATTTTGTAAATACTAATCCCAGTTGCAAGGAGTTCATCTGTTCGGTTGCCACAAGTACTTCTAGATCAGTGGTGGATATGTTGTTCTATAATACAGACATGGACTTTAATTTGCTTTCTAAAAGATAATTGTTCTCAGATCCAAAAAGCCCTTTTCTGTAAATATTGTCTATACTCTGTCTGTGATACAAACTAGTTATTTCAGATTGCTGAAGCAAGAAATCGCTATTGGTTTTGATAGGCCATCTAATTCTTTTGTTAACTGTTCAGCATATGTATATAAGTAAAATAGTTGGTGACATGAAAATAACACTTTTGTTATGTGGAATATTTAATTGAAAAACCTGCTAAATAATATTACTTTTTTCCAAATTCTGTTTTGTGTATTTTTTTAAGTATATGATTCTGGATTCTAGGAGATCGGAAAAACAGTTTACAGAAATGCGTATATGAATATCAGATGTAAAGAATAAAGTCCTCCCAGCAGTGCCTTCCCTTCCAGGCAGCCTGTGACTGTTTCAGCTGGTGTCTGGCCTCCTGGCATAGCATGCAGTTTATCTATAATAATACAGCAAAATATGCTGTGTTGCATGTACCATGTATGAATTGTTTTCCCTGTTATTTCAGGGAATATTCTATAAATGCACAGAGGGCTTGGAACTAGGTGATCTTTAAGGTCCATTCCAGCCCAGACCATTTAATGATTCTGGGTTGGAATGATTCTTGATACACACAACCTAAAAGCTGATCTCATGAGTAAAAAGATTACATTTTTAAAGGGTCACTTTTCAAAGTGTTACGCCTTGGTTAGAGGCAGTGAGTCTGTGTAGCAAGTCTTGGAAGTGTTAAATAAACAGTGTGAGTTACCGAGTCAGCTGACATTTTTCCTGAATTCAGTTTGCTACTCCTCCAGCACTTGGAAATCCTGTCAGCTACAGTAATAGACTTCTATAAAATTTCATTTTAACATTGTATTTGATTTGCTTCCCTGCATCCTGTTCCCTGTGAACTTCAAGTGTCTTTACAGAGGTTTTTATAGCCTTAGTAAGATTGAGCTGGAGCTTTTCAGAGCAGTGTATATGTTGATGTTCAGAACAAGTACAGACATGGTAACCAATACATTGATATTTTCAAAAGCAGTATTAAAGTAGATGCATTATTTAAGGAAGCAGAGGAACTCTTGTTCTGGCGAGTACTTGAAGTTCCACGTTGTATGATGGGTAAGTGAACAGTGCTTGGAACTCTTCTTTCTGGTTTAATGCAGTGGTAGGCTTGTGCTAGCCTTGGGGTTTTTGGCCTGTGCCTTGTGCCTGCTCACAATATCTTTTGGTTTATGTCCATTCCTTCAGGACATTAAATTATGCATTCCTGATATTGGTTGGGCATTCCTGTATCAGGAAAAATACTTTTCTTGCAAATCAAATGGCCATTTAAACTGCTGGTTTTCATCAAAACTACTGGTGTGTAACTAAAAGAATAAAGTTCAGGTTAAGTTTTAATCTCTTTTTTGTGTTAGAAAAACAATGCTTTCAAGTACTACACCTATTCCTCTAAAGGAATTAAATACAATAAAGTCACTTCAACCCTGTGGAAAAGATGACTGAAGGGAAAGAAGAGTGATACAGGCAAGCAAGAAGTTTTGGTTAAATTCTGTTACTCTAAAGTGCAGTATTTTGAAAGATGTCTTTCTCTTGAGTTTTTTACCTTAAATATTCTTTCACATTTTTGAAGGCTGTTTGCACCACAATTGTTCATGAGGGGGGCTGTTTTTAATTGCATGTTCATAGACATTTTATGCCTTGCAATATCCTTCTGGCCTTTAGCTGCCACTCCATAGACACTGGTATTCCATAATTCTTGTGTCCTATTGGCAGCCTTTGGGCCATGCAATGTCACTAGAGGCCTGTGTGCAGGGTCCCAAAGTGTCATTGTGTCATTTTCTAGTATCTGAACATTCTTCATAAACTCTGGGGGGGAGGGAGTGTGTGGGGGAAATAAACCAAATAGACCTATATATAGGTGTATATAAATACATACATGTTTCCTTTTCCTTTGTAAAAAACAAAACTGGCCCAAGTTTCATTTCAAGTTGATTACTTTATTTCAATAGTGTCTATTTTTAAAAGCTGTGTTCCTATAAGAACAATACGTGTTCAAATTAAATCAACTATTACGTTGCAGAGTATACATCTGAATGAAGCTACAATAGAAAAATACACATAGCAACCAACGAAGGTAATAGATGTAATAGGTGTGTGTATGCTTAATCATTTTGGCAGTTTTGTTTTCTTTAGTCTCTATGTATTTTCTATCATCTCATTTTCCATTGCTTCATATTAATGGACACTGATTTAAACCTATGACAGATTTAGATGTGAAATGCAATTAACATATATATTTAGAGGTAACTTTTACTGGGCACTTATTAAGAATGCTGTTTCAACCTAGGAAGCACTAACTATAATCTACAGTGCATAGGCTAAAACTAAAAAAATAAAATAATTAATCACACTTACATGACAGTTTGAAGAAATGGTAAGTTTAAGTAATGAAACAGTGCAATTCAGAAGAGCCTTTTATTTCCCTAAGTGTGGCTGGAAATACCATCTCCACACATTAATTTTATTAATTTGTGAACAATTCCTACATAAATCTAACTGAGCTATAATTTATTTCTACACGGCAACTACAACAGTTAAATGTTCACAGTAGTTTACTATGAGTTTGCTTTGGTGCACTGCCCTTAATAGGCATCCAGGCAAAAGATGAGCCAATCAAATGCAACACTGCTGCAATACCAAGAGAAAGATTTGAAATTCTAACGTGAGATGTGCAGGACTATCTAAGATACCAGTACTGAAGGGCTTTCTTTCAGAAATTAGACTTTTTTTTGTTTATATGCTTATTTACTTACTGTACTGCAAAGTTAATGCTGTTGCAGCAGAGTTTATGTGAAGCACCAGTGACATCCAGTGGTCACATGTGCAGTCTTAGATGTTTCTCTGGGAATATCCCTTGTTTTGTAACATTAGTCTAACTCAAATTTTAAATCCTCTTTCTCTCCCTCATCTACTCTTTATTCTAATGGTTTGGACGCAATGAGCAATTCATGGTATGGAAAGTATTTCCTTATTGCTATTGCTCCACATCGTATTGATTCTTCAACATCTGCCCCCTCCCACACTTCACATACCTTGAACTCCCAAGATTTGATAAACCTTTCCATGACTGCCTAATCCTGTTATGAAAATAAATTATTCTGTGAGTGAGAGAAGGAAGATTAAACAAAACAAAAAAAAAAAAAAAAAAAAAA